ATCGACCAATCTGAGAGGAGAACAGGTAAAGTCACAATTACCGTGGGAAATAGTAACACGGCTCTTACAGACTGAGCAGACTCACACACACGTGTAATGCGCACATGCCCCAGGGAGGATATAGGACTTCGTACCCGACACGTGCTTTTTGGATGTACCCGGAACACTTCACAAGGCTGACCATAAAACAAGTCCCAATAAATTTTATTTTTTTAATTTTTTGTAATATTCATTGGGGGGAGAGGTGCACAGAGAAACAGGATCTGAAGTGGGCTCCGCTTTGATGGTGCAGAGCCTGATGTGGGGCTCAAATCCACGAACTGGGAGATCATGACCTGAGTTGAAATTGGATGCTTTACAGATGGAGCCACCCAGGAGTCCTAAGTCCCAGTAAGTTTTTTTTTTTTAATGTTTATTTATTTTTAAGAAAGAGAGGCAGGGTGTGAGTGGGGAGGGGCAGAGAGAGAGACACAGAATCGGAAGCAGGCTCCAGGCTCCGAACTGTCAGCACAGAGCGTGATATGAGGCTTGAACTCACAGACTGCGAGATCATGACCTGACCCAAAGTCGGATGCTTAACTGTCTCCATCACCCAGGCGACCCCCATCCCCACCCAAGTCCCATTTTAAAGGAAGGGCTGAAACCATAAAGAATATGTTCTCTGACTACTGTGGAATTAAGCTGTTAGTCAAGAACAGAAAAGATAATTTAACAATTGTCCAATTTTTTAGTATCGAGCAAGAGCCTTCTCAATAACGCATGAATCAAGGGTGAAAAATCATAATGACTATTTGGAACACATTTTCAACTGAGGGGACAGGGAGAGGGAGACAGGAAGCCGGGGTTGGGTAGAGGGACTCTGTTAGGGACAGTACAGACTTTGAAAAGACTCTAAGCGCCCAGGGTAACAGCGAAACACCTCGGGGCTGTTCTGAGATTTGGGGAAAGAGGGTGCTGGAAGCTAAGGTCCTTCTTTATGCCAAAGAATAAAAAGATCCAAGTATCCAGGAAAAAATGTACACTGACAGCTGGACATCTCTCTGTAACACCTTTCCTCACATATTTTGGCTACATACTCTTTGTTCACCTCCTCATATAACAATAATTTTGATTTTTTTAATGTTTTTTTTTTTTTATCTCTAGGAGAGAGAGAGACAGCGTGAGCAGGGGAGGGTCAGAGAGAGAGGGAGTCACAGACTGAAACAGGCTCCAGGCTCTGAGCTGGCAGTCAGCACAGAGCCCGATGCGGGGCTTGAACCCACGAGTCGCGAGATCATGACCTAAGCGAAAGTCGGACGCTTAACCGACTAAGCCACCCAGGCGCCCCTCTCCTTCCTTTTTTAAGGCTAATATTCCACCATAGGGATGGACCACATTTTGTTCATCCATCGTCTGTTAATAGACACTTGGATTGCTTCTGCATTTTGGACATTGTGAATAATGCTATGGACACGGGTGTTTTAATGTCTTCAAGACCCTGCTTTCCTTCTTTTAAACAGTATTTATTTACTTTTAAAAGCACAAGTGGGGAAGGAACAGAGAGAAGGGGAGAGAGAAAATCCCAACCAGGCTCTGCTCTGGCAGCACAGAGCCCTATTCAGGGCTCAGACTTGTGAACCGTGCGGTCATGACCTGAGCCGAAAGCAAGAGGCAGACACTTAACAGACTGAGCCACCCAGGTGCCCCATTCAAGACTCTGCTTTTAATTCCTTTCGGGGGCACCTGGATGGCTCAGTTGCATAGGGGTTCGACTTAGGTTCAGATCATGATCTCACAGTTCGCGGGTTCGAGCCCCACATTGGGCTCTGTGCTGATGGCCTGCTTCAGATTCTGTGTCTCCCTCTCTCTCTGTTCCTTCCTCCCCCCCCCAAAAAAGAAAAGCTTTAAAAAACTTAATTCCTTTGGATATTTACTCAGAAATAGAATGGTGGATCATACGGTCATTCGGTATTGAAGTTTTTGAGATGCTGCCGTACTTTCTTCCACAGTGGCTGTGCATTTTCCATTCCTCTGCTGGAATCTTCCAGACTAGCTTCTGGCTCTGACTGCTGTATTACCTTTGGCCCTGGACCTTCATATCACAATACCAGTGGGTGTCAAAGAAGGTGCTAGAGTGTGTATTCCTGGAAGCCATCCCTACAGAGCATGGCCAGCAGTAGATGAACTATACCCAGATGTGACTACAGACCACACAAATGTATTCCACGCAATCCACGCTGAAGGTACTCTCAGTGGGGCTTCCCCTGTGTCAAGTCCCTTAAGTACCTGTGACCACTTCAATGCCTCCCAACACAAAGGCAAGTGGGATGGAGGGCAGGGTAAGTAGAAACAGTAGTCTTAACCAATTGCAGCTAAAATATCTTACTGTTTAGATTTTTATAAAAACACATTGTGCACATGTGAACACAATGAGAAGGCGCCTCTCAGAGCCTTGCAAATAAGGTACCTGCAATCTCGGGGCCCTGAGGTCTCCCACGGTACTAACCAGGCCCGACCTTCCCTCGCTTCCAAGAACAGACCAGATCCCACCCGTTCAGGGTCCTATGGTCATAGACCCTCATGTTTAAATTTGATTAGTGTCAGTGTAAATTCGCCTCTGCCTGGCACATTTGTGAAAGTGTTTTAACGTGGCAACCTAACTAAACTCTATCAACAACCTTTTAAGTTCAGTCCCGTATGAGTTGTTTCTGCTTTGGAATGAGAAGCTGACTAGGAAGGGAAATGTTCTTGGCAACCGTGTGTCCCTCGTGTAGCTGAAAAGAAAACTGAAGCTTCCAGATAAACGTCACTGCCCCGGTCCCTATCGCTTGCAGCGGCGGGACCGTGCGGGAGAGGATTCCTGGACTTGGGAGTGTGCAAAAGTGCGTAAAAGAGGCGTGGCCTCCCCGAGGCCGGACGTGACCGGAAGCTGCTGACCCCCAGGCCCAGCACAGCACTCCCGGGGAGCTGTGTCCGCTGCGCCCACAGCCCATCTCTCGGCCTTCAGCGGCCGCTTCCGCTTCTTCCGGGTGTCATGGGCACCGGTGACCACCAGGTGGCGGCGTGGCCTGAAGGACGCTCTGGCGCCACCGCGTGGCCAAGAGCGGACACTACTCCTCTCCCTCTCCAAGGGCGCAGGGAGAATCCAGCCCCCGCTGGAGAGGACTGCAAACACCTGTGCGCTTCCCAGACTGGCCCAGCGGCCCGGAAAGGAATATTGATTCTGGGGCCCAAAGAAAACATTTTCCAAAGCCCTCCTTGCCCTCTGCTAACACGGAATCCATAACCTCCCAACCCCAGAGTTCCCATATAAGGGGCTCCCCAGCCAGGATTCAGGATTGACTCAAGTGTACCAAACTCACAGGAATCTGATATAACACACCAATTTATTAATGTACAATTGCTGGGAGGGGTCCAATCCATATTTGTTCTCTAGGGTCTCCTTTCTGGAAAATTAAACCACCAGAGGACTGCTCGGTGAGCGTGGAATGCGAACAAAAGGACACGTGCCACTTGAAGCAAATTTCATCCCAAGGCGTGAAAAATTCTGGAGAAGTATCCCGGCCTCACTGCATTAAATCTTCTTTGATGATAAAAAACACACCAGTTCCTGGGGCGCCCGGAGGGCTTAGTCGGTTAAGCGTCCGACTTTCGCTCAGGTCATGATCTCGTGGTTCGTGGGTTCGAGCCCCGCGTCGGGCTCTGTGCTGACAGAGCCTGGAGCCTGTTTCAGTCTGTGACTCCCTCTCTCTCTGACCTTCCCCTGCTCACGCTGTCTCTCTCTCTCTCTCTCCTAAAAATAAATAAAACATTAAAAAAAAAAAAAAAGTGCACCAGTTCCTGCCAGAAAGGCAGGTGGGGACTGCCAAGTCCTCACATGCCGGGGCCTTTCTTTCAGTTTTGGGGGCTCCTGGCTGGGGCTTCCAATTATAACCGAAGGACATACATTTCACACTCAGCGTACAGGTTTTTCTTTTTAAAATATATTTAATGGTCTTTGCAGCCACTTATTCAGCCTCCTTACATCCTCTAGAGAAATGAAGTAAGTCTTTTGATTCAGACATCATTTCAGAAACCCGTACCCGCGTCCAAGGGGTCCTCTACTCTTTTTCCCCCTCCTAATATTCTTAAATCCAGCCCCTTCTTCCCATTCTCACCGCCACTTCCCTGGCCTCGGGCAGCGTCTCAGTGGGTTTATCTGAGCCGGTTTCTGCCCTCTCTGATCCATTGTCTACACAACAGCTAGAGTCTTTCACACGCACAAGTCAGATCAAGGCACTCACGGTATAAAACCCCTCAAAGGCTCAACACCGCACTCAGAAAGAGCCAACAAAAATGTACGGGGCGCACACATTTTTGGCTCTGCCGAGCACCCGTCGACCTCTGACCCCTCATGGCCCCACTCCGCTGCCTACGGTTTTGTCCTCTGTCACTTCCCGGAATGGGCCATGCTCCTCGCTTCAGGGTTTCTCCCACAGGGCCGCTCACTTCGAGCTCCCCTCCTCTGTCAGGTGCTGGGCAGTGCCCGGCACACAGCAAGCGCTTAATAAGTGTCTAAGAAACCAGGGACTTTCCGCCGCTTTCGGCCCCGAGCTCCGGGGTTTTCCGTGCGCGGACGTGGGGCGAGCACTCAAAGCGCAATTTCTTCAGGCTGGCATTTCCAGGCCCACCTCCTCGCGTGCTCCACGCGCCGCCGGGGACTCCTTCTGGAACAGCCCGCGGGAGCGGGATCCGAGCCCCGCAGAAACCCCCGCAGAAATCGCTCTGCAAGTTCGGGTGCGGAAACCTGCTTAGCCCAGGGGCCGTCAGATGCCAGAAGACGGGCCGGAAGTCTACCTCGGGCCCGCCCCCGAGCCGTCATTGGAAGGAGCCCTAAGAAGGGGCGGGGACCCGGCCCAGTTCTGGCTCTTCATTGGCTGAAACCTACGAGCTAGTGAAGGGGCGGAAGCTGGCTTTCCCTCGCCGCTTCATTGGCTAAAATCGAGAGCTGGGCGGTGCCTTACAGTCCGGATCCTTGCGGGTGGCTGGGAGCGGCAAACCCTTGTCCCGCCCCTCGGGACACGCTCATCATTTTAAAGACACAATTGAGGACCAGGTGGTCGATCACCCCGAAGCCTTGGGGCCTCCCTCGGGTCTTTGCTCCCAGGGGCCTCGAGTCTCGCGGAGCCCAGGGCTGTAGAGAGACGCGAGCGGCGAGGGAATCCGGAACGATTTTTTCGCGGAACCACTGAGCTGAGGCCCCTAGGAACGCGTGCAGGGCCGGACCGCGACGAGCCGGACCAGAAGTGCAGGGATGGCGGCGGCGGACGCGCGGCCAGGGACCGCGGTCCCCGTGGACCTGCGGCGCGAGCGGCGCATGGTGTGCGTGGAGTACCCAGGCGTGGTGCGCGACGTGTCCAAGATGCTGCCGACTCTGGGCGGCGAGGAGGGCGTCTCCCGGGTGAGGAGCGAGGGGGTGGGGAAGCCGCGGGGGAGGCGGAGTCGCGGGACCTGGGCGGGAGGGACCGGGCCGCCCGCGGAAGTGTGGTTTCCTTGGCAACGGCGCTGGGGCGGCCAGTGGGCGGGGACGTGCCTCTGAGCGGCGGGAGCGGAGAGCGATCCCGCGAGGGGCGGGGTGCCCTTCGCGTCCCCTCCTCCCGGCAGGGCAGTCGCGCTGGGCGCTGTGTCCTCATTCACAGAGCGGACCCAGGCGCGGGAGCCTAAGGCCGCTGACGAACGGGACAGGGATGAAGTGTCGCGTTGTTAGGGTTAAAGACGGTAATGGCCAGCAACCTCTTCGGTACCAGGCTCAGTTCCAGGTGCTTTACTTCCGTCCCATCCAAATTAGAACCCTGCCAGGTAGCAACAACGGGCGTTGTGCGCGCATTTTACAGGAAACCTAGGCGTTTTGTGCAAGGCCTGCGGGAAAATAAGGGAGCTGAGATGAATTCTTGCCTTGTGCAAGGCTCCAGGGAAGTGCTTTCCCACGCACCAAATATTGACATGTCTCTTGTAGAGTCCTTCTCTGACTGCCCTAATTAAAGTGGCCTTAGTTGTTCATATCTGCCTTCTCAGCCTGTTAATTCCAATCTGAAATTATGTTTTAACGCGTTTATTGTCTGTGTTGGCCGTTGGCCCTGAGACTAAACTGAATGAGAGCAGGACTTGGTCTCTCTTGTTTACTCCTTTGGTCCTAACATCCATACTAGTGCCTTCTTCGAAAATATTTGTCAGATGCATGATCGAATCCTCACAGCCATCTAGGGAGTTAGGTACCGTTATTCCCACTTTTCAGATAAAGATACCAGGTAAGAAAAGTTGGGTCAAAACACCACCGCGTGGTACAGTGGGAGTTTGAACTCATGCATGTCTCCCCTCTGAAGTGTGAACTCTTACCTGTTGCTTCCTTGTCCTTAATGAATACTGAAAACCTGTCTCTAAGCACAGGATGCCATAGAGGCTCAGTTAGTTGTGTTTTGTTGTTTGATCCCGATCTATTCACTGTACTGTGGTGCTGATGGAACCCTTACTGTCAGTAACCCAGGGATATCTGTACCCAACTACAATGTGAGCCTTTTGGGAAGACACTGGTCCTTGGTTCATTCCATTAATGCTGCGTGTGCACATCCTCTGCCAGGTCCACGTCTGGGGTTATTCCCAGCCTCGTGGTCTCACAGGCCAGTGTTTTGCCAGAGGGGATTCCTGAGGGTTGGGCCTCCTTTTAACCTTCTTTCCCTCCATGTTTCCTGAGCGCCTCCTAAGGGCCAGGCTGTGTCCTTAGTGTTGGGGGGCCCGCAAACTAGAAAGCGGATGATCTTCGCCCATTGAGCATCGTTGGTGCCTTTGTATGCACCCAGCTGACACTGCTCTTACTATGTGGGTGACACGTGCTGAGTGGTTACCGTGACTTAGCAGACTGAGTGTGCGGCATACGTCTTCATTTCATCGTTGTAGCGATCCTGTGAGGAGGTGCTGTTTGCACCTCCGTTTGAAGGAGAAGGAACTGAGGCTTCAGAAGGAGAAGTGATAGCCAGTTAGCCGGGCCTGTGCTGGTTCCTAGTTGATTTCATTTCCTTTGGACCTGGAAACATTTGCACGGGTGTCTGAATAGCAGGACCCTTTGGAGCAGGTAGTTCCTAGAGTAGGAAGGTGAGGACAAGCCCCTCCCCCTGCCAGCCTCAGCTCCCCCCATGGCAAACTGGGGGATGAGAAGGCCCCCCAGGAGTGTTGCTTGGAGAGGCGCACGATCGCCCACACCGAACAGGCACCTGAGAGGTGATGGCTTCACTTCACTGGTAGTTATTATCTCCAACTTTCCAGCCTCCTTAGAAGGAAGGGACTGTGTTCATTTTCTCTGCTACATAAAAAACTCAAGATGTGGGTTTGAAGAATGGGTCTTCTGAGAATTAGAAGCTCGTAATGAAACACGAACCTCCTGGCCCTTCCCTTGTCAACTGAGTCTCCGTCGGGCTTTTGTTGAGATGGGAGCAGCTCCCTCCCGCCCGCCTAGCTGTCACCGCCTCACTGCCTGCCTTGGCCTTTGCCGCAGATCTACGCAGACCCCACCAAGAGGCTGGAGCTGTACTTCCGGCCCAAGGACCCTTACTGCCACCCGGTGTGTGCCAACCGCTTCAGTACCAGCAGCCTACTGCTGCGGATCAGGAGGAAGACGAAGCTGCAGCGGGGCGTGCCAGGTCCTGGGGGCCGCCCCGAGGTCACATTTGACATCGAGATGCTTGGCGTCATCTCCACCATTTATAAATTTCAAGGTAACCGCACCTTACTGCGTTGGGTTATTTGAGGACCTGTGTCCACATTCCTGCAGGCACCTGTGAGTCGTCCCCACAGTGGAGAGGGCCAATATATGCCCTGGAATGAGGGGTGGGGAGAGGGCGGGGCGTGAGCCGGCAGGATGGCGCAGGGACGCTCCTCCTCTCCCTCCGGGGCAGCAGCGGGCAGCAGCCCTAACTGCTCAACTGCTGTTCCACCTTCAGCATTCGTAAGAAAAGCTTACATTCAATGAGTAATCTTCTCATTTTTAAAGCCATTATGTAGGGCCAAATGAAGCTGGTTAGCAGGCCTCGGAGTTTTGACCCTCCGTGTTTGGGAAGCTTCTCTAAGTCTTGACCGCTGCTGGCCTTGCCTCTTGTCTGAAGCCTTCCCTGATCACCTCAGCCCCTTGGGACCTCATGTTCCTTTGAACTTTTAGCCAATGGGGTGTCTCCCGTGGGGTACTCAATCCAGTTTCCTACCTATGGGGAACCCCAGTGAAGAGGCGCTAACGGATGGGGTGAGAGGGTGAGTGAGACAGAACAAGTCTGGGTGGGTAGCTTGGCTTCCCTCGTCCTTAGGCTCTTGTCCATGCAGTGTGGGGCCCTGGTTCCTCGTGGAGGGTCCAGGTCGGGGTGGGGTGGGGGCCACTAAGGGGCCAGTTCACTCCCACAGGAGGCACTTGGCAGGTTACTAGTGAGCCTCAGGCACGTGCAGTTGCAGCTGCAGTTCTCACAGAGAATCTGACCAGAACAAAGACTGAGAAGGAAGAGGGGGCTAGAAAGTGGAGAGAAACTAAACCAGGGCCTGGGACCCCTGTGTTGGGCGGTCTGAACGTCGGCCGTCCTGGTGGATGTGGCATCGCAGCGGGCCGTCCTTCGTGGGGCAAGTCTTCCCTGATTCATCTTCTGTGTGCTGGGCCCACACCCCTTGGCTCAGCGTGTGTCCCAGCCAGCAGCACCCCCCACCGGGGAGCTTGTGCAAGCTGCAGTGTCCCGGAGTCTTCGGCAGGGTCCCGGGTGAGGCGTGTGCACGTTCCGTTTCAGGAAGCGTTGACCCAGACATTAGCCTCTCGTCCCACATAACTACCCCTCGGCCCCTCCACGTGTGTCCAGGTGCACGGGGCCGGTGCACAGAAGGTATTTCGGCAGGGTGTTGTTTCCGCTCGCCACACAGTTCCCTTGGCACCTCCCGGGAAGACGTGGGTGTTGGTGTCTAGCAGCTGTGAGTTCCTAGGAGGGCGTAAAGGGGCTTCCGCCATCTGGCCCCCTCTCTTTCCAGGAATGTCCGACTTCCAGTACTTGGCTGTGCACACGGAAGCGGGCGGCAGGTGTGTGTCCATGTATGACAAGGTGCTCATGCTGAAGCCCGAGAAGGAGAGCTTCTTTCACCAGGAGCTGCCACTCTACATCCCCCCACCCATCTTCTCTCGGCTGGACACCCCGGTGGACTATTTCTATCGACCAGAGACACAGCACCGGTGAGTCCTCATCCTCCCCGCCCCCCCCCACCCCCGCCAGCATCAGGGTTCAGAGCAAGGGCCCTGCGGTCAGAGGTCCAGCCCTGCCACTCACAAGTCAGGCAGCCAGCACTGACAGCCGCACTCAAGCCTGTGGCTCCAGTGCCTGCAGACATAGCAGCAGGTGACTGCCCCGCCTGGAGGCCGAGCTCCCCGCACCACGGACAATGAGTCAGGATGTCATCTTAAGGGTTGAAGACCCGTCCCCGAGAGCATGGAGCCTGCCTGGCAGAGTTTGATAGAATAAACAAGTGACCAGTCCATTAGTAGGGAGGCGGCTAACGGAATCACAGCCCTTCTATGCCAGGGAACCACACGACCGCAGACCTCAGGCTCGTGGACTGACGTGGCGCTTGCCCAGGGCACCTTGCTCTATGAAGGAAGCAGGCGCAGGAGCACGGTCTATAGTATGAAAGTAAACTGTGGTTTGATCATAGAAATCTAGAAAGATCTGGAAGATTGGGCCCAGAGCAGTTATCTCTAGAGGGTGAGAGAATGTTCTCTTTCCTCACTGTTTTCACTAACCAGCACTGATTGCCCGTCGTGGCCTGGGGCACTCCTTGGAGCAGAGCACAGCACATGGGAAGTCCCGTGCTGGGCGGGGCCGGGAGCAGGATGGAGCAAAAGCCAATGATGAGCGAGCAGCGGGCCCATGGCCAGGTGCACGTCTCAGAGATCGGAGGGGTGTGAGTTGGCAGGGGCAGTGAGGGGGCTGGGAGCCCCCAGAGGGGCTGACATTTGAAACAGACCTGGGTAATGACAGAGCCAGGTAGGTGAAGATCCAGGGAGAACATTCTAGACCAGAGGATTGGCACCTGTGGAGCCGTCACAGTGAGCCTGGGCGAGCAGTAGGGGCGAGAGTCTCACAACCCATGGTGAGGGGCCTAGATTTGATATTAAGGAGAAGGTATGTCCTTCTCTTCCTTTAGCAAAATACAGAGAATTCCAAACATACTCTGGAGTGGTGAGAATTGTCTAGCGGAGGCCCAGCTGCGGCTCGCCCCAGCCCTGGCTCCAGCCCTGGCTCCAGCCATGGACCCAGCTGCGGCCCCGAGAACGCACCCTGTGTGTCCCCGGTGGGGAGAGACTTGTTTCCTTACTTGAACCTGCTGCTCTGTGGCCAGAGCAAGGGAGTCTTCCATGTTCTCCAGCACCTTCCAGTGCCAGTCAGCTCTCAGTCCCGCCCGGCCAGAAGCGGGCCACGTGGCAGCCTTTTCTCAGCCCTCCGGCCTGTTGAATCCGTAGCCCCCACACCCTCCTGAACAAGTGGTTAGAGGGGCAAAACATGACAGAAATGTGGACTTGGAAACGGCAGCCCCGCCCTCCCAGCCAGAAACCCTCCACGTGGGATGATGGAGTTTTCCGTGTATGCATTATGCTTGGTTACACTCGGCACAGGAGTTTTAGGCAGGGAGAGACCGTTTGCGTATTTCTGAAATGTTCTGATTATTTTCCCCTACAAGCATTTTACTCTCAGAGTCAGAGACAGACAGACAAAAATACATAGAAGAAGATAGACCGTCCACACTGCTGGCCCTGCCCGGTGGCAGCTGAGTCACCCTCTGACCCGTGGAGCCAGGAGGCAGCTGCTCTCAAGCCTCTGGTGGAGGCGACAAGAGAGAAAGGCTGGCTGCCGTGTGGTTTATCGGTTTTCCAGCAAATGGAAAGAACCTGCTTTTTTTCCCAGGCCCCCATCGATTTGTCTGCCCTACTGGCCTTCCTGAGTTCACCAGGGCTGGCAACGGCCCCCATCGATTTGTCTGCCCCGCAGGCCTTCCTGGCTACACCAGGGCCAGCAGTGGAGGCCTGGCCGCAGCCTTGCTGGCCCTTCCGTGGTTCCAGGGACGTTCGACTTCCTACAGGGTGGTGTGCAGAGGAGAGGCTGGTTCCTCCTCCTCGAGAAAGTTAGCAAGGAGTCCTTTCCCTGTGCTGACGGGCCTTGGCGGGCAGCCCACGCCTTGCCGTGCTCTGGTGGTGGGCTGCCCAGGCTGGACTGAGCCATCGACGGTGACTTCCCTCTTGGGGGTGGTCAGGGCCCCGGGGGTGTCCTTGAAAAGCGAGTAATATTGTACCTGTTCAGGATGGTTTCTAATGAGTCACTTTACAAAGAAAGGCAGCGACTTGCTCCCATCTTTGTAATTCTGTTTTCCAGTGTGAAAAATCACTTTGTTCTTTATAAATATGTAGATGGTTTGTACTCATGTAGAAAATTAAGGTAAAAAGAGAACAAATTTAAAAGGTAGTCATAGCCTAAATGAAAATGTATGCCGTCTAGGGCGCCCTCTAACATGTGTTTCAAAATAATTCCGTGGCTTTGGGGTGGGATACAGATGAAATGGCGGTAAGTGTGAAGCTCACGATGGGTATGGGGCTTCTTGAGGCTGTTCTCCCTGCCTTCGTACAGGCTTGACATTCATGACCTCCCCCCTTAACGACACCTGGGCCTGGTGCCCAGCGAGGGACCTGAGTGGACCTGGTGTTAGAATGCTCGCTGGTCGCCCCTGTGCTGCATGACGGGGCTCGGTGGTGTCCGTCGTCCCTGCACTGAGCCTTTGTGGAGACAGTTCTGGGCCAAGCATGCTCTGTCGGAGGGTGGCCCCTGGCCAGCCACCCCGGGTGGGAGTGCCAGCTCTGTCCGCGTGAGCTCCGACCCCAGGCCGCTTTCTAGCTGCTGTTAGTTGCCTCGTAGGAAATTGGTTCCTTCCTCGTGGAGTTGTTGCAAGGGTTAAATAAGTGAATCATAAAAGTCAGTGAGCGTAGCTGTTGCCTGACAGATGGTCAGCTGCATCCCAAGTGGCTGCGCCTTTACCTGACCTCACTGCTCCGCTCGACGGGCAGGTGGCCGGCATCACAGCCCGGCGGGCCCCTGCCTGGTCAGGTCAGGCCCACACCCGGGCTCTTCTCAGCGCTTGGGCCCATGCCAGTTCTCTCTGCCCCAGGGAAGGCTACAACAACCCCCCCGTCTCAGGCGAGAACCTGATCGGCTTGAGCAGGGCCCGGCGCCCCCACAATGCCATCTTCGTCAACTTTGAGGAGGACGAGGTGCCCGTGCGGCCCCTGGAGGCTGCGGTGCAGACGTGGAGGAGGATTTCCACCAACCCCGTGGACCGGAAGGCGGAGGAGGAGCTGAGGAAGGTGAGCTCGGGGCCGCCTCCTCACGGGCCAGCGCCCGTGCACCCGCTGGGCCCTGGCCCTCGTCATTTCGCCGCTGGCTGTACTGACTGTTTAAAACTGGCTCATCAGCACATGGGGGCTTTTCACCTCCAGATGTCACATGTCCACGCCACGCCAGTACAAGCTGGTCCCTTAGGGGCGCTAAGCAGTCGGTATCTGCTCGTGACTTCACAGTGGAGTCCAGGCTTCAGGACGCTTTCATTCATCCCTCATTGGAGCAGGAAGCCACATGGGGCACCTACAGTGGTTCATCCTAAGCGGTGCTGGGGGGACAGAGTGGCCTTCCGCCTGCCCCCCGCCTGATGGGCCCCTTACTCCTGCCCCTACAGGCACAGACAGCAGGTTCTCAGTGAGGCCTCGCTGCTGCTGCCTGAAGCTCGCCTTGTCCCTTGCTGGAGCGGACTGGTCCCTTCGGTGGGGGAGGGGGTCTGTTGTTTTTTTCTAATGTTTTATTTATTTCTGAGGGAAAGAGAGAGAGACAGCGTGAGCAGGGGACACTCAGAGAGAGAGGGAGGCACAGAATCCGAAGCAGGCTCCAGGCTCTGAGCTGTCAGCACAGAGCCCGACGCGGGGCTCGAACCCATGAACCGTGAGATCATGACCTGAGCCGAAGTCGGACGCTCCACTGACGAAGCCCCCCCCAGGCGCCCCTATTTCTTAGAGTCTGTGTGGACACCTTACTGGTTTCTAGCAGTCACTGGTCACTGGAGGGGGACATTGGGGACCACTGTCCGAGGCCCCTTCTTGTCCTCTGGACACAGCCCAGTCCGCAGCCTGCCACGGGCCCTTCCTGCCCCGGCCCTGGCATGCTCCAGCCACACTGGCCCCCACGGGCCTCCCTTGGGCCCGGCCATCCCCTTCGGCCTTTAGGGCATCCCGGCTCAGGCTCCGCCCTCTAGGCTGGAGTTGCTCGGGGTCCCAGAACCCTGGCATGTCGCCCTCTTGGTCCTGCTCTGGCTCCTTTGGTCATCTGCCTCCCCCACTGCCCTGTGAGCTGCATGAGGACAGAGACTGTGTCCTTCGTGGTCGTTTCCGGACACGCAGGGCCCCACCTGAGAAGGCAGGGACCCGTGAGTGGGTGCGGCCGGGCCCAGAGGCTGCAGCTTCTTGCCAGCCGCTGCGCTCCGCCAGCTCCTCTCCTGCAGGCTCTGCTGGGGGCCAGGCCAGGCTGGGGAGGCGGGGCCGGGTGGGCAGGGAGCTGCTGGTGCTCATCTTGGTCTCTGCCTGCCACCCCCCCCGCCCCCAGCTCTTTGAAATCCGTCCCATCTGGTCCCGGAACGCTGTCAAGGCCAACATCAGCATCCACCCTGACAAGCTCAAGGTCTTGCTGCCCTTCGTGGCCTATTACATGGTGAGTGCCTGCCCAGCCTGTCACCTTGGTTCCCACCAGGGTCGCCCTCATCTCTGGTGTGACCTCTCAGAGCCACAGCAAAGCTGGCAGCTCTGTCCCGGTACCACCGAGGGGCCTGTTACAGCCCCAGGCAGTCCCTGTCCAGCCTCGGTAATGCTAGCTGTGCCTGATGATCTTAGGGTTCGAGAGTAATCACATAAGTTCTCAATAAAGGGATTATACACTTTTAAACGATCTTGTATTGAGAACATGCTCAGGACCAGGCACTGGGTTACATGCTGTGTACCTGTTCTATCCTTTTTTTCTCCCTGGGGGTGGGAACAGGATTCCCTTACATCTGAGGCAGAGCCAAGGCTCAGAGAAGTGACTTGATGTGCCGGGGCCCTAGAGGCAGCATGTGATAGAGCCACGTGGGACCCCAGCCTGTTGGGCTGCAGAGACCAGGCCCCCTGACCACAGGGCTGCCAGCCTTGGCACGGTCTGCCTGGGCTGGGCTGGGTGGAGGTGGGGGCAGATTCACCTCGGGCTCCGTCCAGGAGGGCATGGAGAGCATTACCGAGGTTGCTAAAGGTGCTGGAGGAAGGCGTCCTGCCTGCCGCAGGTCCCCGCGTGGGGCACTGGGAGGCCAGCCTGAGATGTGACCACAGCGGTGGCGACAGGTGGGGCACGAAGAAGGCCCAGCCTCCTGAGCTTGAACCCCAGACTTCAGAGAGCCGCTGTCTGTCCCTTAACGTGGGCTTTCTAGCCAGAAGAACTTCAGGAGTACTGTTTGGGGACAGTATCTCCTGTCCAGTAGGACGGTAGTAGCATTTATTAGGCGCTTACTGTGTGCCAGGTGTCGTGGTGAAGGCTCCCAGATCATCATCTCATTTAATCCTCACAGAAGCAAGGGGAAAGGGGGCTCCTGTCCTCTCGAACAGGAAGACCAAGGTTCGGAAAGGCCAAGTGACCTGCCCCAGGTGACAGCTGCAGCCGGCAGAGCGGGGGTGGGGTTCCAGGGCTCTGTCCCCAGCGCTGGTGGTGTTCAGCTGCCCACCCTCCCCGGGCCTGCATCACTTCACACTCCCCCCTTTTATCTCTAGATAACAGGCCCCTGGAGGAGCCTGTGGATCCGGTATGGCTACGATCCCCGGAAAAACCCAGATGCCAAAATTTACCAAGTCCTTGATTTCCGAATCCGTTGTGGGATGAAATACGGTAAAAATGACTAAATCCTTGGTTTTCTTTCTCTCTCTTAATGTCTTTTTTCTGTAGCATTCTCTTTGGTAGTGGGCCTGTATCCCTGTGGTGAAGATCAGAAAGCCTTTCCTCCTTGGTGAGATCTCCGCAGAATAGCGGAGAAACGAGGAGCCCAGCGTGGGTCCTGGCTCCGCCGCCGGCCTCCAAGCCGCCGAATTCGTTATCCATCCACTCGGTCATTCCACCTGTTAGGATTGCTGCCGTGGGGGCCGGGCACCCAGTGCCATACGGTCCCCAGGCCCGCAGTGGGGCCCCACACGCAGGGCGCCAGCACAAGTCCCATGTGGCCAGGGCCAGAAGGGTGGCTGCTGGGACGCGGGGACTGCAGTCCCTTTCTCCAGTGCTGGCCCCGGCGACCCGAAGCCGTTCCGACTGCCGGAAGGCCTCCGCGGCCACTCGCAGCCAATGTGCCTTCCTCATCCGCAGGTTACGCCCCTAGTGACATGCCCGTGAAGGCCAAGCGCAGCACCTACAATTACAGCCTCCCCATCACTGTCAAAAAGATGCGTAAGTGCGCCTGCGGCCCGTGGGTCAGGGCGGGTCTGCCCCCCAGAGACCCCGAGGAGGGTGGGCATCTGCTCAGGGGGGACGTAGTGCTGTGGGGCTTCCCAGGGGCCGGCGCTCCAGGGAGGATGGGGAGAAACGTCCCCCTGGATTCCCAAGTACTGTTGCTGTCCCCTCGTAGCCAGCCAGCTCGTCACCATGCATGACCTGAAGCAGGGCCTGGGCCCCTCGGGGACAGCTGGCTCACGGAAATCCACCTCTAACAAGTACAAGCTCAAGGTGGGTGTCCCTGAGCCCCAAAGGGAAGCATTCACCTGCCTGGTTGGGGGTGCAGTGGACTGTGGAGAGGAGGCACCTCCCTTGTGCAGGCCAGAGACAGACAGACAGACAGACAGACAGACACACACACACACACACACACACGGACCATGGAGAGGAGGCACCTCCCTCGTGCAGGCCAGACACACACACACACACACACACACACACACACACACACACACAGTCTCCCGGGTCAAGGCCTCCAGGAGGGGCTTTGACTGAGGCAGCTCTTTCCACCTGGTGCCTTTGCATGGCTCCCAGCTTCCGGGACAGCCTTGGGGAGCATGGTGAGAGCGTGGGGTGTGAACCGCCCAGCACCGGGGGCCTTGCAGACCGTCTGGGCAAAGAGGCGGTGGCAAGTGTCAGCGGGAAATGTGACACTAGCAGCTGTGCATGACTGCCCTTTGTGAGCCTGTGGCCATCTGGGTGATGGGCCAAATGGGGGTGGGAGACCACATGCACGCAGAGCCACGGGATGTCCCGGCCCCGCTGTGGGGGGCTCATAGGCTTACAGGGTCCTCGGCACACCGGATATGGGCCTCCATGGGCCCCCTACCCACTTGGGCTGATGTGAGCTGCACCCTCACCCTTGGTTCAGCTGCCTCATACAGGGCATATGCAGCAGAAGGGGAGAGGGCGGGCGGCATGCAGGGTGGCAGAACAGGACCGGTTGGTAGACGGTGGTGAGGAACCCGGGCGGGACTGCGAAGGCTCACAAACCTGCACGACAGCCCGCGCCACAGCATGGCCGGGCACGCAGGCAGCTTGTGGTCACGCTGCCGGGGGACCCCCCCCGGGGTGTACAGAGTGTACAGAGCCTCTGCACACCTGCTCCCGGCCCCTGGCCTGTCTGCGCCGCCTGAGTCCAAGGGGAAGAGCCAGGCCCGCCAAGTGTGGACTGGCTGCGGGGAGCTCCGACCCACCCTCCCGCCCTGTCCCCTCCCCAGGACTCGGTCTATGTCTTCCGGGAGGGGGCCCTGCCGCCCTATCGACAGATGTTCTACCAGTTATGTGACCTGAACGTGGAAGAGTACGTATGTGGGGACCCTGAGACGCAGGGGTGAGGATGGCGGGGCTCGGGACCACAGCGTCCCTGCAGCTCTTCCACCCGGCCGACTCATTGGGAAGCCCCCCACCCTGCCCCGTGGCAGTGGGCACCAAGGGGCTCCCCCAGCGGCCCTTGGGACCCGTTCCCTGGGTCTGCCTGGGCTGCACACCTGAGCTGTGGCACGGGGCTGGGCGCAGACACGTCTTGCTATTGAGTCTTTGGCCCTCTGCCCCCTTGGAGGCCTGGGACACGGTTCCTAATCCTCCCAACCGACCGGAATCCCAGGAACCTTCCACCCAGTCCTTACAGTGCTTAAAGAAGGGGTGTAGGGAGATGGGAAGAGGCAGGAGTGCGTTGGACACGGCCGGAAATCTGGGGTGGGCCGGGGTTCTCACAGGAGAGTGCACACGGCCGCTCCCCGCTTTGTGCACAGCTTGGGGTCGGGGGCCATGCTGGTTACAGACCTTGGCTGGGCGTGTCCAGCACCCGTGGGTGGTTTTCGGGACCGTGCTCGCGCCCCCGCGGCCCCCACTTGTGGGCAGAAAGCCCACCCTGGACCGCCGTGACCTGACCCCAGGTTGCAGAGGATCGTTCACCGCAATGACGGGGCTGAGAGCTGCTGCACGGAGCGCGACGGCTGGTGCCTTCCCAAGACCAGCGATGACCTGAGGGACACCATGTCCCTTATGATCCGGCAGACCATCCGCTCCAAGAGGCCTGGTGAGAGCCGCTCGGGGCAAAGGGAGGCCTCGCTCCGGGGACAGAGCCCGTCTCCCTAGTGGACCCGTTCCCCAGGAGCTGCACCAGGTGGAATCGTCCCTCCCCGGGGCCGGGTCCCCCAGCCTGCCCGCCAGGCTTCCGTGGGGGCAGTCACGCTGCTCGGCCTGGGGTCTGAGGCAGGAGACAGGCCCAGAGGACAGGGCTGGAGCGGGACTGGCGCCACCATTGGAGGCCCCGCTTTGTGCCCTGGTGCCGCCCTGCGTCTCCCAGCCACGTGCGGCCACGTTCGGCCCGTCTTGTGCTTGGAGAGCAGGGGCAGCAGGTGTGGAGGGCTGTCCCCCCACCGCCCGTGCCTTTCCTGGGACCGGTGGCCGTGGCGATGGGCTGGGGGTGGGGGTGGTGAGGCAAGGAGAGGGTGAGCACGGCTTCCTCCCAGACCCGCCCTGCTCCACGGAGCTGGCGGGAGTGGGCCCTCATCCCCATTTAGGACACGGCCCCTCGGAGAATCCGCTGTGGACCTTCTCCCTAGAGAAAAGCACTCACACAAAATGTCCCCTGCACTTCCCTTGGACCCATGAAGCCACCCAGTCTCCAGGGAAGTGGTTTTCAAAGCTCTTGGCTTTATACTCCCCGGAAGTACTTGTAAAACTGCAGCCACCTGCGGCCGCCACCCAGCACCTTCTCCAGGGCCTGGGCCCAAACGCCTCTAAGTGTCACTAGGCCTCCAGGATCCCGATTGCTGGGCTGGGGGCTGGGACCAGCAGCGGCTGGCCTGGGGGCCACCGGGAAACCTGTGCTGGGACACATGGCCTTGTCTCCTGGCCCCAGCTCTCTTCTCCAGCCCGAGCAAGGCCGACGGCGGGAAGGAACAGCTGACGTACGAGTCTGGGGACGACGAGGACGAGGAGGAGGAGGAGGAGGAGGACTTCAAGCCATCCGACGGCAGCGAGAACGAGATGGAGACCGAGATTCTGGACTACGTGTGATGTAACCTACGGCCACGGCGAGGCCTCCTACAGCCGGCGGGACTGGTAGCCGAGCCAGGACAGGGCCCAAGGAGACCCCTCGGGAGAGCTGGGGCCCCAGCACCGGGTGCAGCTGCCCCCGGTCCTGCCCGTCTGCCCCGGACACCTGCTGCTTCGGGCTGCCCTCTGGCCCGGCGCGCCTGGGGACATCTCCAGAGGCCGTGACCTGGCTCTGCACAGCCAAGAGCTAGCCCAGCGTCCAGCGGGCTGAGCCGATGGCCACCGCCTCCCTGGAGCCGAGAACAGCAGAAGCTGGGGGTGGAGATGGTGTGACCGGGAGACACTGGTCTTGCCTTGGGAGCTTATGCCTGACGCAGGCCTGGCCTGAGGAAGCTGGTCCATGGTCGCGGACGGGCGAAGACTGTCTTTGCGTTTGGGGCCCATCCACTTGGGCCCAGCTGGAATCGTCCTGATCAAATATACTTTCCCAAGGAATCTTGGTGTCTCGGTGGGGGGTCGGAGCCAGAGCGGGGTGTCCTGCTGCAGGTCGGGTGAGTGCGGCTGGAAGTGTCCCACACGTCAGGCCACAGAGGCCCCTGCAGCCTCGAGCTGACCCCTACTCCAGCGGATGGGTTCCCGAGAGGCTCGTGCTCCCTGGCGTGAAACCAGAGGCGGTGCATTGGTGCGTGTTCCCAATGGGACCAAGCCGCCCTCCCCGGGGGGGCACTCCCACCCGTGCCGTGGGGCGGCGGGGCCACCGTGCTGCAGAGATGCGCCTGGTCGCCCCCTTCATCAGCCAGCAGACCGGGTCACCTAGTGCGACAAGTCCCTAAGTCACTGACTCTAAAGTCAAAGTTAGGTGCCTCCCACCAGCCTCAGTCTGCTGATCGAGCTCCTGGGAAGCCCCCGCAGATGACGGATCAGGAGCCCCAGTGGCTCACAGTTGGCCTGAAGTGGCCAGTCTGGGAACCTGCCTTTCGGTGGAGAGGCCGGCCAAGCTGACTGCCCGGCTGGCCCTGCTCCCCGCTGCCGGGGGCCAGGAGAGCCCCTTTCCCCGCACTAGGAGCAACACGCTCTCGGGACAGCCTGACGAAAGGCACGAGTTGACAAGTGCAAATGCAGCACCCAAGCCCTTTGCAAGCGTGTCCTCACGCTGCCCAGCTGAAGCCACACTAGTCCCGGCCTGGCCCGCACGGCCCCTTCCCAGTGTCCTAACTCCTCCCGCCCGCAGCTGCCCACCTCTCCCCACCTCTCCCCGCTCTCTCCAGCCTCTTGTCCACTCTGTGTGCTAAACGTTTGGCTCTGGTGGACAGGCAGGCCTGGTGACAGCAGCAGGCATGATGTAGCAGGACGGTGGCTGTCCCCTGGCTCCCGATCGTGCGCCCATCGCTGGAGATGGTTGTGAAGTGGAGCCTGAACATCCTCCATGAGGCATGACTCCAGAGGCGGCCAAACTCAAGGCACGGTCCTCAGGCCTCGGCCATGGTGGCCTACCTTTTTGGTAACTTTCTCTGGTTACCAAAGGCCTACACGGTCACAGAGAACAGTGGGAGCCTTTTTCCCCTGTTACCACCTGCCTCTGCTGTTTTCTCCCCCTCCCGGTCTCTCTGACTCTGTCTCAGTCTCTGTCCCTTCCCTTGTCTGCTGGTTGGTCTCCAGCTCTGCTTGGCTTTGCCCCAGTGTCTTTGCTTGGCCCATTTCTGTGGCCAGAAAAGCCCAGCTTTTCCTTTTCCTTAGGGAAGCCTGTGAGGCTGGGCTGGAGCCCCCCTTCCCCCTTCCCCTTGTCCACCCGAGCCTCTGGTCTTCCCGCCCCAGGACTTGTGCTGGATGTGGGGTCTCCCCCACCCCAAGGGCAGGATCCCCTGTGCTGCTCCGGGCCCCCACACCCAGTGGGCCCTTGATGACAAGAGTCAGCCACACGGGCTGCCCGGTAGCACCCACCCACCCACCTGTGTCCCAGAAGCCCCATGCCAGTCCCCTAAACTGCTGTTGAGCTGGGGCTGGGCAGCAGGCGGGCCGTGGAGACCAAGCCCTTGTGGATAAGTGAGCCAGAACGTGGGGCAGCGTACCCCGGCCTTGCAGCCTTCTGCCCTGCACCACCTGCCTCTGCTCCCAGGTAGGCAGTGACCTGCACAGGTGTGCTGTGGGCACCGGGGCAGCCGGCCCTGGGAAAGACAGACTGTCCCTGCACGTGTGTGTACATGTGTGTGTGTGTGTGTCCTCCTGTGTGACCTTGGCCCAGCCTGAGGCTGGCTGGAAACAGCAGCTGTCTCCTGGTCCCAGGTTCACTGCCTGGAGTGTGGCCAGCCTGGAGGAAGGGCCAGAGGCAGGAGGAGGGAAAGGGGGCCCTCTGCAGGAAGCTGGCAACTCGGAGGCTGGCTCCAGCCCCATAAATACCAGTGGGCCCGAGGGAGGCCCACACACAGGCCGGCGGGCACCATGGGGCACCTGGAGCTGGTCATCGTGGGCCTCGCCTGCTGCTGGGCAGCAGCGAGCGCAGCAAAGGTAAGCGGGGGCCCTCCGTCCTCTCGCTAAGCCAGACCTAGAACCTGGGCACAGGGCGCTGTGGAGGGAAGGCAGACGGGCAACGCCCCCGTAGAAAGGGCCAGCCTGAGAAAGACCTCAATGGTCAACACAGTGTTTCTTGCACCCATTATGCTTTGTGTATTTGCTCCTGCATACGATGGCTCGGGCTGCCAGATAAACTCCGGGGTGCCAAATTAAATTTGAGTTCTCGTTTTGGGGCAAAAAGGTGCTTCTATTAAAGCATGGGGACAGGACCCCTGGGCAGGAAGAGCTGCCAAATATTGTTTTATATAAAACATGGAAAGTTTTTGGTATGGGTATGTCCTGTACAATATTTAGGATATACTTAATACTGAAAAAAGAAATCCATCTACGTGAAATTTAAATGTAACTGGGAGTCCTGAATTTTTATTTGCTGAGTCTGGGAACCTGACCCACAACACCCCTCTGGCTCCTTCCTCTCCAGAGAGGTCGATGTCCCCCTTATGTAGATAAGGAAATGGGCCCAGAGCAGACAGCCACCCATCACACAGCCACCAGTGGCTGCGCAGGAGCCTGGAACCCCGCTCTAGTCCAACCCGGGTCTGCTGCCAACATAACCTCCATCTCCCCAGAGGAAGTTACCCCCCAAGTCCCTCCAGAGCGGGAGAGTCCAGAGGCCTTCTGGTGGGGGTGCCGTCTGCCCTCCCTAACTGCCCTGTCACAGCATGAGGACCGAGGCCCCACAGATGCACAGCCCCCGTGGGTGTTCCTAACCCTCATCCCGCCCCTCCATCCTTGCTGGCCTGGGCCCTGGAGGTTTGGGTGCTGCCCTGAGGGGAGGCGGCTCGCTCTTGGGAGCAGGGGGCTTGTCTGAGGGCAGAAAGGGCCAGGATTGCCCCTCAGCGCGCCAGCAGCCAGTGCCACCCTCCCCGCCTTGCTCACCCCTCACCCAGGCCCTTAGGCCAATGTCCGTTCTGAGAGGTGACTTCCCGGTCCCCGGGCCCTGATCCGGCCCACCACAGGGCCCAAAGCCGGTCACGAAAAATGTCTGGAGGCCTGAAACAAGGCTGCAGATCCTGCAACTGAGAGAGGGGCCTGGGAGCGGGGCACACCTGCCTCTGGGCCCCCCGCCCCACCCCTCAGGCGCCGGGCAGGAGTTGCTCTGGCCTCTTTCTCTCTCCAGCTCCTGCCTCCCCCCCTCCGGTTAGCCTAGACCTTACAAGTGCTGGGGGCGCCGCTGGGCCTGGCTGGGCGGGCTCTGCTGCCCCGCCCTTCCCCCCTGCGAACCCAGCGCCCGTGAGGGCCAGGAAGCCGAGACCTGCCCCTGGACCAGACAGATGGGGAGGCCACCCCGGGAGGGGATGAGGGCCTGGCTCTGAGGTCAGACGGCGGTTTCCAGCAGGATGACCTCAAGCAGGAAAGTTCCCTCCTGGGACAATGGGTAGATAAGCACCAGCCCCCGGGACCCTCTCGGGTGAGGACTGGATGCACTGGCCGTGCGAGGCCAGCTCAGTGCCAGGACTGGGGACACGGCAGCGGTTCCAACGGCCTGGGGGACAGGGGTCTTTCCTAGCAGTGAGAACTCGGCATCAGGCCACGGACCCCAGGCCACGGACCCCAGGCCCGCTGGACGCTGTGGGGGGACACAAGGGAAGACGGTGCTGCTACCCATGTTAGAGATGGGGAAACGGAGGCTCATGGTCACAGCTAGGTGGCCGTTGCTGGGATCCAAGCTTCTACCCCGCCTCCCCCGGCCTACACGGAAGGCTTCCCAGAGTGTGAACACACCAGTTGAAGCAGCCTCCTCCCAGATCTAGGGAGCAGGACCCCCTCGGGGGATAAGGGAAAGCGGCAGAAGCCTCCATCTCGGGTGCAGACCGGCGCCTCCCCAAAGCTGTCTCCGGGGAGCCTCTGGGCACCCTGGGGCTGCTCAAGCTGCCCCTCACCCCCATTCGGGAGGGAGTGCAGCCTGAGCCCACCCGAGCCTCGGTCTTCACCCCCAGCTGGGCGCCGTGTACACGGAAGGAGGCTTCGTGGAAGGCGTCAACAAGAAGCTCAGCCTCTTCGGCAACTATGTGGACATCTTCAAGGGCATCCCCTTCGCCGCCCCCCCCAAGCCCCTGGAGAACCCTCAGCGGCACCCCGGCTGGCAAGGTGGGAACAGGCAGGTGCTGGCGAAGCCTCGCGACCCGGGTACGCCGGGGGCGGCTGCCGTCCTCACACCTGCCCCGCTGGCTGCCCACAGGAACCCTGAAGGCCAAGGACTTCAAGAAGCGGTGTTTGCAGGCCACCATCACCCAGGACAGCACCTACGGGGATGAGGACTGCCTCTACCTCAACATCTGGGTCCCCCAGGGCAAGAAGGAAGGTGGGCCCGCCCTCCCCGCACCCTGCAGGAGACCCCCCGAGAGCCCAGCTTCCCTAAAGCAGCGCAGGGTGTGGAGGGGAGCCGGAGGGGGCATGCACGGTCACCGGGTCTGCTCCGCTCTGCCTTAGTCTCCAGGAACCTGCCTGTCATGGTCTGGATCTACGGAGGCGCCTTCCTCATGGGTGCCGGCCACGGGGCCAACTTCCTCAGCAACTACCTGTACGATGGAGAGGAGATCGCCACTCGGGGCAACGTCATCGTGGTCACCTTCAACTATCGCGTCGGCCCCCTGGGCTTCCTCAGCACCGGGGACGCCAACCTGCCAGGTCTGCTAGAGGTCTTGGGCACGAGGAGGGGGAGAACACACACCTCACCCCGTGAGCTCTGAGCCCCGTGGGGATGCCCCTCGACGCCCTTCACGCTCGAACAACTCCCGACAGTCCCCCCTGGAAATCCTGTGCACAGACCCAGGGAGCTGGGCATGGACCGTGAGATGCAGGAGTCCCTTGGCAGCTGTAGTGAAAGAAGAGACTGCCAGACAGACAGGCGGAGTGAGACCCAGAGAGGCCCAGGGGAGCCGGGGACAGGGAGCCCCGTAAAAGAGACAGAAGAGAAGACATTGAGGTGGCAACACAGAAGCTTCAGGACCGACCCACAGACAGGGGGGCTTGTGGCAGGGAGAGAGAGAAATGAGCAGGCTGGCCCGCCCCCAGCGCAAGCCCCACATCCGGCCCAGCACCTGACACCCTCTCCGTCCCCAACCTCCCTCCTGACCAGCCCCCAGGGGGCCCATTCAACCTCCTGCGGTTCGGCCAGGGTCTCCGCCCTCAAGGACATTCTCATCCCACCCATGGGATTGTGCACCCCGTGTGGGCCAGGCCCTGGCACCCCCAGCCCTGGCCAAGGGGTCCCCGATGAAGGCCCACCCTCCACCCTGCCCCCAGGTAACTACGGCCTTCGGGATCAGCACATGGCCATCGCTTGGGTGAAGAGGAACATCGCAGCCTTCGGGGGGGACCCCAACAACATCACCATCTTTGGAGAGTCAGCTGGAGCCGCTAGTGTTTCTCTGCAGGTCTGGGAGACCCCTGGAGAGGGGACCTGCCCCCAAGGGTGTGAGAGGGAGCCGCTGGGGGTCAGGGAGTGGAGGGTCCGAACTGACGTGTAGGGTGGGCTTGGCTAAGCCCGGGGTGGGCATGTGGGGCGAGGCCTCAGTGACAGAGGCCTCTGTGTGTTGCAGATCCTCTCCCCGTACAACAAGGGCCTCATCCGGCGAGCCATCAGCCAGAGCGGTGTGGCACATTGCCCCTGGGTCATCCAGAAGAACCCCCTCTTCTGGGCCAAAAGGGTAAAGAGGAACTGTGGTAGGCAGGGGAGGGGCCTCCCCGCTTCCCACTCTGTCCCGACTCTGTCCTCCTCTGCCCGGAGCACTGGCCTCACCTGCCTGTCTGCACCCCCCCCATCCCCAGATCGCCGAGAAGGTGGGCTGCCCCATGGACGATACCGCCAGGATGGCCGGGTGTCTGAAGGTTACCGACCCCCGTGCCCTGACGCTGGCCTATAAGATGCCCCTGGCTGGCATGGAGTGTGAGTGGGGGAGCTGGGCGGGGGAGGGCCTTGCTCCTGGAGGAGAGAGGAACTGCCAGGTCCTCAGCCCAGCCCCGCACCAGAGTGCTGGCATCCCTAGGCAGCTTGCAGCCACGCCGGTGGCTGTAGGAGGAGGCGGGCCGTGATTTCTTCTTATCCTCCTGGGTCCCAACTCCTTGGAGAAGCTGATGAGTTTGGGCCCCAGCCCCCACAGTGCACATGGTTTCTGGGGGGGGGCGCGCATGGACCCAAGACCAAGAGTCTTTGTACCTTTGTACCAGAGGTCTTTGTACCTTCCTCATTCAATGCTCAGCGAACCCCTGCGGCACAGCTTGGCCCTCCCAGCTCTGCTCCTCTGTACCCCTGGAATGCTGGGGAGCCCACCAGCCCAGGGGGCTGGCATTCGCTCTTGCTTATCTTTTGGATGCTGGATAAGAGGCCCCCTCAGGTTGCACCTTTACCCGATGTGAATTAAACCGTAAGTGTTAAGTGAACCAAAAGCCACGCAAACATGTGGCCCCATAATACAAACCAGCTGTTTCCTCCTCCGGCGTGAACCGGAGAGAAAACAGGCTCTGCTGGGCCTCCTGAAGGCCGGTGCCTCCACCTGCCCCGAGCCGGCTCTCCGGTACCTTCAGGGCCGGTTCAGGGATCTGGAGGACAATGCGGACCTCGCACAATTTTGGCGGACACCCTGGAACCCGGCCGGGAGGGGGGTGCCTCTTTCTCCATTGGTCCCCTCAATTACTTCCAGACCCTCCTTCCTGGTTTAGGCTGAGTGAGAAGCAATGCTGGAGGGAGGGCAGCCTTGGCCTCTAGATGGTGGTTCTCGGCTGGGTGTTTTTGCCCCAGGGCACGTGTGGCCGAGTCTGGAGACAGTTTGGTTTGGTTTTTTAAATGTTTTATTTATTTCTGAGAGAGAGAGAGAGGCAGCATGAGCAGGGGAGGGTCAGAGAGAGGGAGACACAGAATCCGAAGCAGGCTCCAGGCTCTGAGCTGTCAGCACAGAGCCCGACGCGGGGCTCGACCCCACGGACTGTGAGATCATGACCTGAGTTGAAGTTGGACGCTTAACTGACTGAGCCACCCAGGCGCCCGTGGAGACAGTTTTGGTTGTTACAACGGGAGAGGCAGGGCTACTGGCATTCCATAATTTGAGGTCAGGGATGCTGTTAAACTTCCCGAAGGGCACTGCACGCCCCCCCCCCCCCCCCCCCCCCCCCCCCCCGCCCATGACATGGAACGATCCTGCCCTAACTGCTGGTAGTGCCGGAGCCGGAGCCTGGTCTAGATTGGAGGAGGCAGGGGTCTCCGCCTCAGCCTCGCTGGGACAGAGTGACTCCTGCCCCAGAGGCTGATGGGAAGAGCAGCTGGGTACCGCAGGTGTGTGAGCCTGCCGCTCTCCCGCCCAGATCCCATGTTGCATTACCTGGGCTTTGTCCCTGTCATCGACGGAGACTTCATCCCCGATGACCCCGTCAACCTGTACAGCAACACAGCGGACATCGACTACATAGCAGGCACCAACAACATGGACGGCCACATCTTTGCCAGCATCGACATGCCAGCCATCAACAAGAACAAACAGGACGTCACCAAGTAAGCAGTGGGTGTGGCGCCCCTGGGGCAGTGCCCGGGGGGCAGCCGAGGGAGGCATCAGCAATGGAGGTCAGCCCGTGCCGCGGGGCCATCCGTGGCCCTCTGCTGGGTGTGGGGGTGCAGACACCCTCCCACCGGCGCCGGGTGGTGGGTCCAGTGCTGGCGTGGTCCCTGCAGGGAGGATTTCTACAAGCTGGTCAGAGGGCTCACCATCACCAAGGGGCTCAGGGGAGCCAACACCACCTTTGACCTCTACGCCGAGCCCTGGGCCCTCGACGAGCCCCAGGAGACCAAGAAGAAGACCGTGGTGGACTTCGAGACTGACATCCTCTTCCTGGTGCCCACCAAGGTTGCACTGGCCGAGCACAGAGCCAACGCCAAGTAAGGACTGGGGCAGGGAGGCTCCCTGGAGAGGCCTGCCTGGGATCACGCATCTTTGCACCGAGGGCTCCCTGCTGGGTGGCTCTGGGAAGGCCGAGCTCGGGTCCCTACCTGTGCCTGCACACCTGCTTTGCCCAGACCTGACAAGAGCTGAGAGAGCCCCCTTCTTACCTCCCAACCTCGGCTGGTGGGGGAGGGGGGGCATTACAAAACCCTCCCACGACCCCCTGCCCAGCCCGGCGCTGCGTGCCCTCCTTCACCCCACAGTCCTTCCTGCCACTAAGTTCTTTGCATCTGCGCTCCCTCCCTCGTGCCATGGAAAAGGAAAAAACGGGGGTGCGGGGGGGGTGGGGGACGAGGGCCTCTGCTGTGGGTTTCAGCTTTGCCACATTAAAAAAAAAACACCTCTGTAGAATAATAGCCAATGAAAATAAAAAGTAAGTGAGGAATCCTTCAAAAGTAAGAAGATAATATTATACCTGGAATCTAGAACCAAATCTTCGCAGCAGCTAAGCGATAAACGTAGCTCCGAGCTTCCCGTCAGTGAAGGCAAAAAAGGAAAACATTCGAGGGCGTATACCTGGTCCAGTTACATTAGGGTACAAGTTCACCTGCAGAGACGTAAATCTTTCTTGATACTGAATTCAGTCTGTTTTGAGGAGGTGAATTATAAATACAACTGAAATCGTAGAGCCCACGGGTCTGCAGCTTTCCCTTCCCCACACGTCAGGATTCTTCATGAATTTTGGGGGGATTCCCTAGGTCCTTCCCAGGCCTCCCCCCAGGCCTCATCTCTGGGCTGGGGGACTCCGGGGGAGCCCCTTGCCAACTTGGCCCATCTCCCCTCCCTTCCCCCCTTCCTCAGGAGCGCCAAAACCTACACCTACCTGTTCTCACACCCCTCGCGGATGCCCACCTACCCCAGGTGGGTTGGGGCTGACCACGCGGACGACATCCAGTACGTCTTTGGGAAGCCCTTCGCCACGCCCCTGGGCTACCGGCCCCAGGACAAGACTGTCTCCAAGACTATGATCGCCTACTGGACCAACTTTGCCAGAAGCGGGTAAGGAGGGCAGGGGTGAGGCCGAACCCAGGGCCGCCTGCTACCTTGCCCTGCAGGCTTGGGCTCCTGTGCCCTCACTTAGCCTCCCCAAGCCTCGGCGCCTCCGTCCCGGGCCCGCACAGAGGTGCTGCTGGGCCCCGCGAGCTGCGCCCCCTGGGGCTCGTGCCCGGCCAGTGCCCAGGACGCAGCGGAGCCCCTGACGGTGGGGTCGGCCTGGAGGGTGGAGGACTGTCGGGCAAGCCCGGGCCCAGGTGGGCTGGGGACACAGGTCTCCAGACTCCTGTGAGCTCCCAGCCCCCCAACCCAGCCTTCCTCCTTCCTGCAGGGACCCCAACATGGGCCACTCGGCGGTGCCCACACACTGGGCACCCTACACTGTGGAAACTGACAACTACCTGGAGATCAACAGGAAGATGGACAGCAGCTCTATGAAGCAGCACCTGCGGACGAATTACCTGCGCTACTGGACCCTCACCTACGAGGCGCTGCCCACAGTGATGGGAGGCGGGGCCCCCTCGGCGCCCCCTTCGGGGGACTCCGGTGCCGCCCCCGCACCCCCCTCGGGGGACTCCGATGCCGCCCCCGCCCCCCCCTTGGGGGACTCCGATGCCGCCCCCGCACCCCCCTCGGGAGACTCTGATGCCGCCCCCGCACCCCCCTCGGGGGACTCCGATGCCTCTCCTGCGCCCCCCTCGGGGGACTCTGAGGGGGCTCAAATGCCTGCAGTCATTGGCTTCTAATGTCCTTGGCCCCAAGAAGCCATAGGGTGAGACCCTAGGGGCCCACCTCCCCTCCAGATCTCTTCCTGAATAAAGCCTCATCCCTCTCTGTCTGGCATCTTCCTTTGCTCTTGAAGCCCCCGCTGCAGGGCGCAGGGCTCTCATTCTGCAGCCCCAGGCTCTGGGCCCCACCGCCTTTCCCCGGGGTACCCGCAGTCCCGAAGCCCCAGGAAGTCTGCAGGGCCACCCTCACTTGAGAGAGGAGGAAACGGGTTTGAAGAAGTGAGGTATCAGAGTCAGGACTGGGCTTCAGGCAGGGGGTCCCTCTGCCCTGGGCTGCTGGCTCCCAGGGGGCAGGGTCGGCCGTGGCCACAGCTGAGATGGGAGCCGGGCTCTGTAGGCCGTGCCCCTGCCCCCACCCCCGGGCTGGCGAAGTCCAGCCATGCCAAGTCCTCTGGGGCATGGGCAGCGACCCCTGTGCTCTAACTGGGGCCTGCGGAACTGAACTCTGCATCCAGCTGGGTGCAAGTCGAGGAGAAGAAAGCATTACACTCGAAGGTCAGAAAGAAAAAGTGCAAGTGGACTGGGCGCTGGGCGGCTCTGGCCAAGCTTGGGGGGAGGGCGGGAGGCAGAGGTCAGGGCCATTCCCACATCCCGGCGTCCGGGCCCAGGCGGCATGCTGCGTACGTAAGCAGCCTGACCTCACCAGGGCCGCCCCAGGGGGGCACCGAGAGGGGGGCACGTGCCCCAGGTCTTCAGAGCAAAGATTTAAACCCAGGAACTCGGAAGCTAGTGCTTGAAACGATGTTGGGGGGAGTCTCCCCACCCCTCCCTCACTGTTTTGTCTCTGTGGGGGAGGTGGTGAGGGCTCCTGGGAGAGCAGATTCTGGAGTCCTGCACAGCTCTGCGTGCTGGGAATGGGGACAGCACACCAGAGGGCCAGCCAGCCTCTCTCTCCGTCTCCGTCACGATGGAAGGCTGGGGCCTGGGCCACCCGCAGCCGAGCTGAAGGGAGGCAAACCTGTCCCCCCCTCAAGGATCAGGGAGCACTCGGGCTGGCCTGTGACCCCTTGGCTACCCTGGGCTTCCTGGCTCGCTGAGGGCTCTCAGGTGTGAGGAGGGGATTCCCTGTCCAAGGCTGGGGGGGTGGGGTGGGGAGGTTGGGCCCTTGCGGCCCTGTGGCCTCTCCCGGCGACTGTCCCTACTCTTGGCCAACAGAGGCCCAAGGATGCAACAACGTGTCCCTCCACCACATTAGCATACACACGACTTCCTCTAAGTGCTTCTACGTGCCGCGTCTGCTCTCAGGGGCCTCCCGACACTGCATGAGAAATCCCTTGGACCCCAGTGCCTTGGACCAGCCCTGGACCGGCCCTGGGATGTGGCACTTCTCGCGCCTGTTGCAGGAGGGAAGCGTAGTCATGCCTGCCTGTCATTCAGAAAATCCCATCCCTGGGTGGCCAGGCCATCAGAGTGGCAGGGACATCGGGGTCCAGGAATGTGCACGGCCCCTAGGCTGTGCTAAGACCTTTCCGGCAGAGGCCGGCCTTGCGCTATGTCTGGGGGACACAGGCAGCTGTTGGTGACAACTCAAGATCATCCCACAATTCATCTGGCTTTTGCCTTTACAGACAGTATCCAGAGGATGAAGTTGAAAATAGAGTTGACCCTTGACCAACATGGGGGTTATGGGTGCTGACCCCCCCACAGCCAAAAATCCATATAACTTTAGACTCTCCCCGAAAACTTAACAGCCTTACTGTTGCCCAGAAGCCTCACCGATAGCATCGATAGCAATCAATTAACACATATTTTGTAGAGGTATTATAAACTATCTTCTTACACTAAGGAAGCCAGAGAAAAAGAAAATGTTAAGGAAACCATAAGGAAGGTGCGCCTGGGTGGCTCGGTCGGTTAAGCGTCTGACTTCGGCTCAGGTCATGACCTCATAGTTTGTGGGATGGAGCCCCGCTTCGGGCTCTGTGCTGACAGCTCAGAGCCTGGAGCCTCCTTCAGATTCTGTGTCTCCCTCTCTTTCTCCGCCCCTCCCTTGCTCATGTTCTGTCTCTGTCTCTCAAAAATGAATACACGTTAAAAAAAGAAGAAAATCGTAAAGAAGAGAAAATACATTCACAGTACTATCCTGTATCCAAAAAAAAGCCATGAGAAGGGGGCCCACAGGGTCTAGACCTGTGCTGTTAAAGGGTCAACTGTAATTACCGGAAGTGCAGGCTGGAGGCTGTCCAGGGTCCTGGAGGCTCCCTGACGGGCCAGGTGTTCCCCCTTTCTGCTAACCTTTTATGGTGAAGCCCAGGGAAGCTCAGGACAGCATCTGTTTACCACCCTGATGTCACACCTGTCTCCCAGGCCACCATCTTTCTACCCTCCCTGCAGGAAAGGTTCAAGTCACCCACTTCCTCTAAGACATAACCAAATCACAGACGTGGACAAAAAAAAAAAAAAAAAACTCAGCCACCCCAGGGGGGCTGCAACTCTCAGGGCTCTGGCCTAGCTAGCTGCTCTTTAGGACAATTCGGAATCAACATGACCAAGTCTATCTATATGCTGGTGACTGCCCAATACAGTAAACCTCAGAACCACATGGTTCTGGAATTCGTCTCGGCCAGGGGTGGGGAGTGTGGTGGTCTTTCACTAGCAGAACCCTTATCCACGCCAGCACTCAGCTGGGAGTCATCAGACCCTGGCCAAGATGAGCCTGGCAGGGAGAGGTGGGGCAGGGGTGGGGATCTTTAGCGTATTTCTGGGCAAAATCAATTATATGTAGAGTTGCAGGGAGGCTGAAAATCCTAACTCATAAGAAGCAGAGATGCTTACGGAACAAGGCTCAGCTGTAGCCTGAAGACTACATTACAAATCTTTCCCCCAGATTCAAAGCAAGCAGGAGCGGGAAGTCTAAGGACAGAGGTGAGGCTCCCAGGACGACTCCAGTCCAGGTAAAGGGCTGACCACAGGCCCCCAGAGAGAACTGCCTGACTACATAGTCCACTGGCTAATAAGCTCCTCTGGCCTCTTCCCTCCTACGTTGCACATTCTTGATCTGTTTACAACCCCCTCCCCCCACTGCTTAGTGCTGATGGAATTCAAATTTGACCCTGAAATCTGTAAGTTCCTAATTGGTGGTTGACAGAAACCCCAATAAAACAAGCACAAAATATCCCTCTTCCTCCAAAGCTGTAGAAAGGCAGCCAACGGTCCTGGGTCAGGAAATGGTCCTGGCAAATGTTGTTCTTTGAAAATCGCCATAAAATATACATAACATAAAAGATGCCAATTTAACTTCTTCTAAGAGTACAATTCAGTGACATTAGTGCCGTTCACACTGTTGTGCAACCGCCACCGTATCTAGTCCCAAAACTTTATCATCCCCAACCGAAACTTTGTACCCATTAATCAATAACACCCTGTTCTCCCTCTCCCCTCCCCCACCCAAGACTACTTTCCCAATTTGCCTGTTCTAGATTTTTTTAAAAGTTTATTTATTTGGAGAGAGAGACAGTGAGGGAGGGGCAGAGAGAGAAGGAGAGAGGGAATCCCAGGCAGGCTCCACACTGTCCCCACAGAGTCCGACACGGGGCTCAATGCCATGAACCTCGAGATCATGACCTGAGTCGAAGTTGGACACTTAGCCGACTGAGCCCCCCAGGTGGCCCACCCCTCTTGTTGTTTATTGTAGGCATTGGCAGCGAGAAATTCTGCGGTTAGCATTGCTGCTGTGTCCCTTACGTTCTGGTACATTGTTTTGTTTTCATTTGTCTCTGGGTATTTTCTAACTTCCCTTGTGATCTCTTCTTTGACCCCTTGGTTATTAAAGAGTATGTTGCTTACTTTCCATGTTTATATATGAGTATTCCAGTTTTCTCTCCACTGCTGGCTTCTGCTTTTATCCCACTGTGATAGGAAAAGATATTCTGTATGGCTTCAATCTTTAAAATTTATTAGGACTTGGGACACCTGGGGGGCTCAGTCAGTTAAGCATCTAACTTCGGCTCAGGTAATGATCTCGTGTTCCTGAGTTCGAGCCACACATCAGGCTCTGTGTTGACAGCTCCAGGAGCCTGGAGCCTGCTTTGGATTCTGTGTCTCCCTCCCTGCCCCTCCCCCACTCATGCTCTGTCTCTTTCTCTCTCAAAAATAAATAAATGGTGAAAAAAATGTTTCAATTTATTAGGACTTGTTCTGTAGCCTCACAGGTGGTGTGTCCTAGAGAATGTTCCATGTGTCCATGAGAAGCATGTGTGTTTACTGCCGTGTCTTGTACCTGTCTGTTGGGTCTAACAGTATAGGATGTGGTTCAAATCCTCTATCCGTAGTGAACTTCCACCTGAATTTTTCTAGCCATTTTCGGACATGAGGTATTAAAGTCTCAAACTCACTTCAATGATGTCAATTTTTGCTTCAGGGATGGATGTCTACAATTGTTATTTTTCCTTGCTGAATGAACATCTTTATCGACATTTTTCTTATTACCTTTTTAACTTAAAATCAACTGTCTGATAATAATATAGCCACCCTGGGGCTATCTCTTACTGTTTTTGTGGAATATCTTTTTCCACCTTTTTACTTTCAACCTTTCTGTATGTTTTTTTTTTTAAATTTTTAATGTTTATTTATTTTTGAGAGACAGAGACAGAACACAAGCCGCGAGGGGCAGAGAGAGAGAGGGAGATGCAGAATCTGAAACAGGCTGCAGGCTCTGAGCTGTCAGCACAAGGTCAGACACAGGGCTTTAACTCACTGACCGAGAGATCATGACCTGAGCCTAAGTCAGATGATTAACCTACTGAGCCACCCAGGCACTCCTCTCTTCATTGTCTTTTAAATTTTATAAGTTTATTTATTTTGAGAGAGAGAAAGTACATAAGCAGGGGAGGGGGAGGCGTTGAGAGAGAGAGAGAGAGAGAGAGAGAGAGAGAGAAGTCCAAGCAGGCTCTACACTGTCAAGGCAGAGCCTGACGTGGGGCTTCATCTCCGGAACCGTGAGATCATGACCTGAGCCGAAATCAGGAGTCAGATGCTTAAGTGACTGAGCCGCCCAGGCACCCCCTTTTCACCTTTTTGAGGACCCCGTGTCCATGATAAATCACTTCTTGCTGCTTTCGAGACTTTCTCCTTGTCTTTCAACAACTTGATGATCATCGAGTGTCTCCGTGGGGCTCTCCTGGAGTTTGTCCTGTGTGGAGTTCACTGAGCTTCTTAGTGTGTAGATTGAGGCCTTTCGTCAAATCTGGGAAGTTTTCAGCCATTATTACTTCAAAGAATCTCTCTGCTCCTTTCTCCCTTCTTCCTCTGGGACCCTCAGGATGCCTATGTTGGTGCAGCTGATGATGTCACAGGACAGTGCCTATGGGGCCATTCTTTTTTCTTCTTTCTTTTTCCTCTGCTCTGCGAGAAGAGTTTCATTGGACTGATCTTCAAGTCCACCGATTCTCTTTTCTGCCTGCACGAATCTACCTTTGAATCCCTCTAGTGAGTTGGATGTCTTGTACTTTGAGCCCCAGAGTTTTTCTATTTCTGTTAAACTTCCCATTTGTTCCTACATTGTTCTCTTGATTTCCTCTAGGGATTTTTTTGGCTTTTTGTCTGTGGTTTCCTTTAACTCACTGAGCATATTTAAGACAGTCGACTGAATGTCGTTGACGTCTAACTTCAACATCTCGACTTCCTCAGGCACTTCGTCCTGTTATATTTTCTTACCCTCAAGCACTACTTTCCTATTTCTCTGTAGGCTTCGTCAGCTTGTTGGGAACTGGATATTGAAGATGATCATGTGGTGACCCTGGAAGCCAGACGCCCCCCTGCTCAGGGCTTCCTTTGGTTGCTGGAGAGCTGCAGTTTTGTTTCGTTACTGACTTTTCCAAGCTCTGCTGTTCCCTGTAGTCCCTGTTGTTCAGGGACCGAAGCTTCCATCCTGCTGCCTGGATGGTCAGTGTGAGGCCTGGCGGAGACCCCCTGAACTGCTCGGGTCCCACTGTGCTGCTCGTCACCAAGCACGCCCTGGGCTCTCGTGCTGGAAGACATTCCAGAGGCCCCGGATTGTTCATTCTGATCGTTATCCCCAGCTTAACGGTCTCTATGGAGAGAGTGACCCCAGAGCGGCTCATTCCACCATTCTCTCACCGATGTTATCTTTAAGGACACCCAAGCTTCCAGGCACGTGGCTACACATCCTGTGAAAGAACCTCCAACCTCTAATCCCAGGGATTCTGGGGGGCTGTCTCAGCGTGGTGCGCACGTAAATGACACCGAGGTGAACATCTCTCGGCCCTGTGAAGGATGGGCTGTGTGTCCTTAGGGGAGCTGGGAGCGGTGGCTGGCCCTTCTCGCCTCTCCTGCACACAAACAAACCTGTCACCACGCAAGGTTTCCTATCAGGACACGGAACATGAGGGCCTGTATCTCAGTGGATGTCACAGAACAGAACCACGACTCCCAGGCTATAGAAACTGGCTTTTAATAGAATATTCAAGTCTAGCATTTACTATTTACAAGAAATAAATATTGCCCCTCCCCAACCGGTAAACTTTTTTTTGTTTTGTTTTTGACTTCTATACAAATGTTCATCACCCCTCCCCGTCCCCCAAATCCTCCTTGCCCACGATCCGCCATCTCGTGTGGTCTCGTGAAGCCCAGGGTGCAGGGGTGAGTGGTGCCTGCAGTGTCGTGAGATTCAATGTCAATGGGACTCGGCTGAGACCGTCCTCACTCACCATGTGAAGAGTGTGATCTGTGAAGAGCATCCCCCACCCCCTCTCCTGGGGGAGGGCTGGGTGGGGGTGGGTGAGACTCCCTCACTCTGCTGGCCCCGATGGTGGGATCTTTGGTGTGGCCAGGGAAAGGCTAGCGTGGTGGAAAAGAGGGGCTGGGACCCGAGAAGGGCACGGGCTGTTGCCTGTGGGCGTGAGGAGAGCATTGCAGTGGTCAGACCCAGTGGATGAGCAGGTGCCCTGGGGTGCCCACGGGCACAGTGGCAGTGACCCGCACCTGAGCAGGTGTGCGGGAAAGTGCACAGAGGGCAGTGCCTGGGGGCACGTGGGGCTCCGTGCGCACTGACAGCACTCCTTGGCCAAGGTCAGTTGGTCCTCTGGTTCCGGAGAGCAGAAGGCACCTAAGGCGGCGAGTGGTCCACGGGAGGCCAGGTCAGCCTGTCGGACAGCAGGCGTCAATCCCGGCAACGGGAGGTGTTCAGGGTGAAATGAGTCAGGGGGGTGGCCTGAGCCGGCGTCCGGATGGAAGGTGGCCACCCGGCCTGGGCCACTGGAGTCTGGAAGCGCTCCTTGACCCAGCCAGCCTGACCCTGAGAGAGCGGTCCTGTGGCGGGCCAGCACCCGGGATGAGTTAGAAGATGCCCTTTGCGATCTTGAGCCCCTTCTGCTTCATGCGAGGAAGAGTCGAGCTGGTGCCATGCCTGACCTTTGCCCCCTTTGTGAAGGTCCGTTTCTTTAGGACAAAGTCATAGTTGGCAGTAGAGTTCATGGCGTAGAACACGTTGGCGTTGTCCGGGATCTTCAGCTCTGGGGGAGCAAAAAGGGAAGAGGGGGCTTAGAAAACTACGTGTAGGGACACTGGTGGGTCACTGCGAACTGTGTGGGTCAACGGCTGGCGGCAAATGTGCAGCTCGCGGGAGAGAAAGCAGGGTGAGGGCAGTGTGTCCGCGCTGCTAGATGTATGGATGGATTCACCCCTAACTCATTCACCTCCCTCGTGGGGTTGAGGACACAGGCACAGGCGGCCTAAGGACCTGGCCCGAGTCTCCGAGCCCCGCAGCCCAGCTCCAAGTCTGTGCTTGTTCTTGGTTCTCTGTTCCCCTCTCTCTGACCCTCCCCTGCGCATGCTCTCTCTCAAACCTAAATAAACAATGCGGCGCTTGGGTGCCTCAGTCGGTTAATCATCTGACTTTGGCTCAGGTCACGATCTCACATTTCATGGTTCTGAGCTCCGCTTTGGGCTCTGTGCTGACAGCTCAGAGCCTGGAGCCTGCTTCCGATTCTGTGTCTCCCTCTCTCTCTGCCCCTCCCCCGTTCATGCTCTGTCTCTGTCTCTCTCTCTCTCTCAAAAATAAACATCAAAAAAATAAAAAATAAATTAAAAACATAAGCATTCCTGAGAGAACAGCCAGCCAAAAAAAAAAAAAAGCATTAAAAACAATCTTTTATAGGAGTCGCCTGGGTGGCTCAGTCGGTTATGCCTCCGACTACAGCTCAGGTCATGATCTCACAGTTTGTGAGTTCCAGCAACCTTGACCTTAGACTTCAGGCCTTCAGAACCCTGAACAATCCATTTAACTACTTGATGAGCCCCTCCCCCGCCTGCGGTATTTTGTGAGGACAGCCTGAAAGGACAAGGGGAGCGTCACGCGAGCGTGGATTTTCACGTATTTGAGCTTCTTTCTGAAGCACGTTTCCCCCCTCGGCCAGGTCGTCCCTGTGAATGGCCCACGGGCTTGGCCATCCGCCTGCCCGGCCCCCGACTTACCGCGGTCGTCAGACATGACCTGCACCAGCTCGTACCCTTCCGCCTCGTCCTCGTCTAGGTTGTGCTTGTCCATGGCCTTGCGGATGACGGCTGGAGCCTTCTCCTGGCTGGTGACCTGGGTCAGGGAGGGCCGGCCATCAGGGCCAGGGGCCAGGAGGGGTCCCCACCGAGCGCAGTGCCAGGGACCCCTGGAGCTGCCTCCCACTGCATTCGAAGGCTCAGCTTCTGGCCGGGTGCTGGGGCCACGGCGCCCCACCCTGGCCCTGCCCTGGGGGCCCCCACGCAACGACCACGGGCTTTTCCCCCTTGCTCATGCCCCCCACTCCCCTACACGCCCGCCACGCCCTCCCGAGCCACCGGGGGGGAGCCGCCTGCTCCCGGGGACTGTTCCCCCGGATGCCGGCCCCACAGGACGATGGGATCAGTGATCCCAGGGAGGCGAGGGCGTCAGTGGCAACCCCGGAGGGAGGAGAGGGGCTGGCCAGACGCCTGATGCCAGGCCTGCACTGGCTGGAGGCCGCAGGGGTGCTCAGCACAGACAGCTCCTCCTGCCTCCGGCCCAGAGGCCAGAGTGCGGGCAGGTCTCGGATATGGGGTCACACAGGGGGCGGTGTGAGGGCAGCCAGGCTAGTTCCTGGCGGGGAGAGCAGCTCGGTGCAGGGCGGGGATAGAACAGGCACCGGGTGTTACAGCAGCCTGAATGGGGCGGGCACCGTGTCACGTGTGCGTGCATTTTCACGTATTTGAGGTTCTTTCCACAGCACACGTTTCCCGCCTCGGCCACGCCGTCCCTGCGAATGGCCCACGGGCTTGCCTATCCGGCTGCCCTTCCCCAGGGGAAAAGCCTTTTCTCTTGGCTCCTCAGTGCTTTTAGCTGCAAACTAGGTCTCCCCAGCCGGTGTCCACCCAGGCAAGGGCACAGCCAGGGGCTGGCGCAGAGGCTGTCCCCGGGAATGCGGGCTCTGTTAGCGCGTGGGGGGCCTCCGGGGAGTGCAACCGGCTCCTCTGCAGCCTGAGGTCTGGGACAGGAGTCCCTGCCCCCACCCCCGCATACAGTGTCTGCAGGCAAATCCCTTTGGCTCGATCTCAAGCTCTAAATGACATCCAGCGTCTGACTCTGTGGGCCACCTTCACAGCCAACGGCCTGGTAGCCACTGTTCTCCCTGCCCGGCTGCCTCCTAACTGGCCTCTCTGCCTCTCCGGCCACCAGCCCGCCCTCACAGAGAAGCCCCGAGTCACTGGCGCCCGCCACCCGCCCCCACCAGCAGCGCCTTCTGTTTGCAGGTGGCCTCGGAGACCCAGGCCCCTGGCCTCGGGCCTTCCTGCCTCCCTCCCTGGGCCCCCCTCCTCGGGTGCCTTGTCTGTGAAGCCCTCCCCAGCCCTGGATCTCCACAGAACCTTCTTTCTATTCTCTGCTGACCCTCTGTCTTTCCTGATCCCCTGGAAGGTGAGCTCCAGGACAGCGGGCACGGGACGGAGCCCAGCAGGCATGTGGCGCCCGGCGGAGCGCGGGCACCAGGGACGCCCACCCGCGCGACTCACCAGGATGCTCTTGTACATATTGCCGTTGTCCACGTCCAGGCTGACGCGGATGATGCAGCAGTCGCCCACCTGCTGGTTGTAGAGGGGCAGTGAGGAGCTGTGGCCGCAGACCCCCGAGACGGAGCGCTTGTGGGTACGCGTGGCGGCCACGGGCGTCGTGGAGGCTGAGGAGGACGAGGCGCTGCTGGAGGCCGAGCTGATGCCGGAGGTCTCCGGGGATGACTGGGAGGCTGACTCCCAGAACTGTGGGGACGGCACGGTCAGCAGGGCGCCCAGGCCAGTGCCCAGCACCGGGGCAGGGCGCTCCTGGGCCGCTTATGGGTGTGGGGTGGAAGCCCCCGGGGCCCGGGGCAGGGCAGTCAGGAAGAAGGGGCGAGGCGCTCACCTTCTTCTCCTGGCCATCGGGGGACTCAGGGACAAAGCTCACGCTGCTCTCTTCCACGTCGGAGCTCGAGGAGCCGGCCGAGTGGACACTGAGTGCGTCGGCGACGTCCCCGCTGCTGAGGTAGGGGCCGCACCTGAGCTGGTCACAGGATTTGGAGTGGGAGCTGCCGCCGCTGCTGAGCTCCGTGCTGGGGGCCTGGCGGCTGCGTGGACGGGTCAGCTTACTTGGGGGTCTCCCATGGGATCCATCCCATCCCCCCTGCTCCCCCACCCCGACTCGACACCCCAGGCTCTGTGCCAAGGGCTCGGTCAGTTACCAGCACCGCATTTGTCCCTGCTTTGGGAGGCATCGATTTAGCATCACCCCGTTTCACAGAGGAGGAAACGGAGGCCCAGATGGGGAAGACAACTGGCCCCAGGCACATTCAGCCCGAGGCTTCCCTAAGCCTCGAGGGAGCCCCTTGCTGCCAGCCCGGGCCACTCACTCGCTCCAGCGCTTGACGATGGCCGCGTTCTTCTTGGCCTTGAGGGTGTTGCTGGCCGACTCGGAGGGGGGCTCCAGCTCACAGGACAGATTGTAGCTGCAGGGCACAGAGGCCGTCGTGAAGCTCCCGGGAGGCACCCTCGGGTCTCCTGCCCCCAACCTGCTTGGCGGTGGGGGTCCAGACGCCCCGCCATCACCGGGCAACAGTCCGATGCTGAGGGAGATCCCACCTCGCATCCCCGCCCAGCCTCACCTCTCCGTCTCGCTGAGTCGCTCCATGGCCTGGAACCAGGCCTGGAAGTGCTCCTCGGGTGTGATGCTATAATTGTTGCAGGCTGACTGCAGCAGCTTGATCTGGGCGATCACTTCAAATTCCTGGGGCCCAGAGGGAAGCACGGGACGGTGATGGGACGGATGGGGTGCTGGGTGTGGCCCGCGGGGGGCTGCTGGGCAGGTCATGGGCTGGGGTGCTGGGCGGGACAGGGGCCCAGGGTCCCTGGGTCCTCCCCTCCTCTCTCCTCCTTCCTGCCCAGGTCCTCTCTGTTCTAACGAACAGTCCCTCCCAGAAAGCTGTCCTTGCCTCTGGCCTCCTGCACCCACCCTCCCATGGGAGTGGTCCCCAGCCCCCTCTTTTGTGGATCCAACTCTCCCCATAAATATAACGGAAAGCAGGGCGCAGCCAAGGCCGGTCTCTGATTCCCACACCCCTGCCAACATGGATGGATGCAGCCGCTCACCTTCCTCCGCTTCTCAAAGTTGATGAGTCTCCCCTGGAAGGCAGACAGCCAGCGACCATCAGAAAGCGTCCCCTTGCCCATGACAACCCCCAGCCCCACTCAGGCTGCACTACCGACAGCACACACCAGGGGGCGGGGTGAGCACACACACCTGGGCCTGGGGTTGGGGGGTGACCTTGGATCTAGGGGGCTTGGGCAGCGGGGCGGAGCCTCAAGGAACACTTGCCCATCCCTCTGAGGACAGAAGACTGAGGCCTCAGGCAGGAAAGCCCAGCTTGGCCACCGCTTGCCTGAGCTTGGAGGCCCAGCCTCTCTCCGCCTGGGGTCGCAGCCCAAGGGAAGGGCCGCGTGACGCTGGGCCGAACGCCGGGCAGCTCCGCAGCGGGGCACCCAGCTGTTTCCTCGCTGGTGAGCTGGGCAGGAGCCCTGGCACATGGGGTGGCTGGGGCCCTCAGAAGAGGTATGCCCAGCGCTGAGAGCTCAGAGCTCAGTGAGGGGCGCTTTCTCCTAGGGCTCCCGGCCCCCGCCCCAGTTCCCGCCGGTCGCAGCCCCCGGGGCTCACTCACATACAGATAGTCCTTCATTGCGGTGTCCAGCATCACCAGGTCTGTGAGGAACGTGCCCAGGTAGGGGACAGTGCCCTGGATGACACCCTGGGACGTGGGGGTAGGGCTGATGAGCCACGACCAGGGCCTCCCCACTGCCCAGCCTCGGCGACTCCCCCAGCCTCCCACTCAGAGCACCTGGGGGACCCTTAGCGGTCTCCCCCCAGACCCCCTCCTCGTGTCCACAGACCCCCAACCTCCCTCCGGTCACCTTGCAGGCCCAGCTCCCTGGCAAATCGCCACAGATCTGTGGTGGCTGGACCCTCCCCGCCCCTAAAGCCCACCCTGCCCCTGGCTGCAATCAGCACCCTCGAGATCCCCGCTGGTCAGGGCACGTCCCTGCCAGGGGCCAGAGAACGTCAGGTCCGGCGGGCACGTTACCCACGGCAGCGGCTGGAGGGAAGGGCTGGGGCGACCCCTCCTCTCCCGACTCGGGGGCCGGCCCCCCGCCTCTCGCGCCTCGAGCGCACTCACCGTCTCCTTTGGCCGCTTCTGGGCTCTCTTGGGGTTCATCTCCAGGGTGGCAAACTTGGAGGTGCCCTCCTGTCAGGGTTGAGGTCAGGGTCCATGACACCTTCCTCTCCTCCCTTTTCCCCCCCAGCTTGACCTTGGTACTCGCTCACTGGTTGGAACGCTCTGCCGCCACGTGTGGCGCTCTGGCACTCACGGGGTGTGGGCACGTGGGGCCAGCGGCCCGGCCTCCCCCCGTCTGCTTCCTGGTCTGCAATGTGCAGCTGAGCACGGCACCTGCCTCCCGGGGGTCTCCGAGGACCCAACAGCCCTCGCCCTCTCTGAGATGGGGGCCCTGCACAAAACTCGCCCACACTCCTCTTCTCCGGGCACCTCGCTGCCTCCCCATGACTCGTGAGATCACAGGGACCCAAGGTTCGTCCTTCTTCCACTCTCCAGCTCAGGAAACTGAGGCCCCTAGAGGGGCACTGACTTGCCCAAGGTCCCAGAGAAACTCAGAGGGGAGTGAGCTCCTCCCTCCCGGCTGGAGACCCGCTCCCGCTACCTGGTCACCGGCTCATTGGAGGCCCTACGGTGACAGCCTGCAAGATCTCTGGGATCCATTTGCGGCGCCTGCCCCAGGGCGGAGTGGGGAGTCCCCCGGGGCTCCCAGATCTGCTCACTTAGACCCACGGCCAGGCCACTCCCTGCAGTACCTCGTCCCGGGGCAGCCAGGGTGTGGCCACCTTGAGCCGCACGGGGACAGAAGGAGCCTCCCACCCCAGACCCCAGCCACCCAGCAGACCTGCCGAGCCTGCCAGTCGCCCCCCGCCCTACCTACTGGACAACCTCAGCTGCCCCCACACCATCCCACTCATGGGGCCTCCTGTCCCCCAAACTACCGCCCACCGGTCCATGCACCAAACAGATGCCAGCCCAGACAGGACGGGGACTTTTCAAAGAGACGTGCACTGAGAGCCTCCGCCCTCTGCCCAGACTTTACCTTGACGAGCAGCTCCCTGCTCAGTGAGTAGTTGTTCTCATCTGAGAAAATCTCCGACAGCTTCTGAAAGGTGCGGAAGCTGTCCCTGGGGGAAGAAGGAGAGACTTGGGAACGGCAGGCACGGGGGGTGAGTGCCGATCCTTTCAGGACCGAAGGACCCAAACGCCCAGACCGGGGCTTTTCACCCAGGGCTCCGCTGGGCCCCGGGTGCTCTGCGGGCCGGGGGAGGAGGGCTGTGTGTGTGTGTGTGTGTGTGTGTGTGTATGTGGATCTGTTTGGTACAGTTTGGATGTCAAGGGGACTGAGTAGCGTGGCCGTCAAGGAAACACAAGAAAACCTCCAGTGTGGCTCTGTCTAGCACCTGACAGATAGGGACACTGAGTCCCAGGGCAGCTGTGCTGGCCTAAGGCCAAGGGACTCGGAGGGGCGCCCCCTTGCCAGCAGGCCGGACTTAGGATTTGCTACTTCCTGGCAAGTCCCAGGTTCACAGAGGGGACAATGCTCAGTCCCTTGGGAGGTCCGGGTCCCTCCAGGTGGACGTTCTGCAGAGAGAGGTCTCCCCACCTGGAAACTTCTTCCCACGTCTTCTTCAGCCTGTGGATAGAGTTGCTCTGCAGGGCCGACAGGATGGCGTAGAGTGACGAGAAGTTCTTGAGAACACGGCACTCCTGGTGAGAACAGAAGGGCTGTGAGGTGCGGGTTCCGTCCCCTGAGCTCCTACCTCCCGTCCTGCGTGACACAGATTTCCGGGGAACCCCGATGGTGTCCCTCGGCCCCCGTACGTGACACTCCCAGGGAAGAGGCTCTGAGCTCAACATGAGAGAGCACGTTCAGCGGGGAGTGAATGAGCATCAAGGCAGGGGGTGTGGGAGCCAAGGCCAGTGAGCCCCTGGGAAGGGCGGGCTGGGGTCTCCGCAGGGACTTGGACCCCAGACTGCTGCCCTGAGGGCAGATGAAGGCGAGAAAGGGGCTCCCCGGGGCCCCACCGAGGCATACCCTGGCCACCTCGATCCAGTGCTCCACCACCCTGGCCCTGTCTCGGGCCGTCACAGTCCGGTCCCCCAGGCAGGTGGTGATGACGCAGTTGGCCACGCTGTTGAACTGGGTGACGGTGGCACGGACAGTGGGAGCCAGGTGTTCCTTGCCCTTCTTGTCCCGCTGCGACCAGATGGAGCCCAGGCAGTGGTAGGGCACCACCTTCTTAAACAGCTCCTGGGGGATCACGGGCAGGGTCACCCGGCGCTGCCACCGGCCAGCTCAGCTCCTACTGTTTCCCTGGTCCCGGGCAGGGTCCCTGGTCAGGACTGGAGCTCAGGAAGAGCTGAGGATGTGGCTCGAGCCTCGCAGACCCGGAGAGGGGGCTGTGTCTCTGGGCTCGGCTTTCTGCCTACCGCGGGCGCCCAGCATGTGAGCATGACTCGCTGGCAGGGACCAGCATTTGACATTTTAAGCAGCCCCTTCTTCACTATCTGCGAGCACCAGAAAGTGGCCCACAGCTGTGCATACCAGGCGGCACCTTCAGTCTGGCATCGTGGATCAGGCCCGCCCCCCCGACCCCATTCAGATGCATGCTCAACGTGGGTGCTCGGCTGAGGGGCTTTGTCTGCCATCTGCCGTGAACTCCAGGAAGTGGTGGGCGCCTCATAGGTGCCGAGGCTGGTGAGGCCTCCCTGGCAGATGGTGGGGTGACCCACGGAGTTGGACAAGCCACGGTGAGCCCCACCCTGCACCTACTGGGCCAGGCCCCGTCCCCAGCCTTCTGCTGCCCCGTCTCATTTAACCCATCATCGCAGTGCAGAGGGGTGGGGTGGGGAAGGTCCCATCTCCACATGCACAGTCCAGACATCAAGCAGCAATGTTGGAACTGCGATCCGGACGGAGGAATGGACGAGAAGCTCGAGGAAGGTGCTCCCCTGCCCCGCCCCGCTGACAAAAGTGGCTCACCGCATCCATCAGCGTGAACTGCTCTGCCACCAGGTCAGGAGGGAAGGCCAAGAGGTGAGGCTTCTCGTTCAGGCCATTTTCTGCAGCCACAGGTGAAGGCCAGGGGGGCTCGGGTACTAGAGCTGCCTCTAGCTCTAGAGTTTGTGATAGAGCAGCCTCTAGCTCTAGAGCCGGTGCTGAAGCCAGCTCTAGCTCTGGTGCCGGAGCCGGTGCTGGAGCGGGTGCTGGAGCGGGTGCTGGAGCCAGCTCTAGCTCTGGTTCTGGAGCTGGTGTTGGATCCAGCTGTAGCTCTGGTTCTGACTCTGGTGCTAGGGCCGGCTCTAACTCCAGCGCAGGTGCTGAAGCTGTTGCCGGAGCCAGCTTTAGCTCCGGAGTTGGCACTAGACTTGGTGCTGGCGCCAGCTCTAGTTCTGGAGCTGGAGCTGGTGACAGAGCTATGGGGGAAGAGAAGTTTCTAGGGGTCTTTGCAGACACAGAACCCACCCCGGAGTCTCCCAGAGAAGCTGCAGCCAGGACCCCAAACCAGGGCCTGCAGGCTCCTGTCCCCACACCAGCCCCCGGGGGCTCCTCCCAGGGCAGCCCAGCACCGACCCGGCCCCTCCAGACACCCACATCCCCCAGCCCCAGCCTCCTCACCCTCGGGTTCGGCCTCCGGGAGCTCTGCGTGCTCCAGCTGGGCCAGTAGAAGGTGGGCACGGCGCTCGAGGTCGGAACCGGGCATGTTGAGCTGCACGTAGGCCACCAGCTGCTTGAGGCAGGGAAAGTCTGGGGGCTGACAGAAGTCCTCCGAGTACTGGTCCAGCCAGGTGCCCAGAATGGAGGAGATGGCACTGCAGGGAGGGGGCAGACAGCAGAGTCAGAGGCCTGGCCTTTTCTTCCACACAGCCCCCTGTGGAACCCTTGGGGCACTCCCTCCAGAGGCCGGGCACACCTGAGCCCACCCCCACTGGCCATCCAGGCAGGAGCAGTTCCGGTGAGCAGGCGTGGGCCTGGCCGTCTCCACGGGAGGGAGCCCTCCATCGATGGTGTGAGCACCCCTGCCTTCCTCAGGAGGCCTGACCCTCCCTCCCCTCTGTCCGTCTAGGGCCTTCCTTGCTGCACCATGAACTCCAGGGGGGCGGAGGGGAGCCGTGTCTGCTCTGTCCCTGCCCTGGCCGCACACAGTAGGCGCTGCCTAAGTGCGTGAGGAGGAGGGAAAAGGCAGTGTGCTCCCGCCCAGCCTGCTTGGGCTCCCAGGGCCCCTCATCCCCAGCTCCTGCACGACGGCTGCCGCACAGCCTGCGAGGCACGTGCGGGCCTCCCCTTCCCACGGACACTGTTCTCAGGAGCTGGTGTCCAGCCTGTCCAGCCCCACGTGCGGCTGGACTCAAGGGGACTGACATGTGAAGTCGATGGGTGAGGAGGTGGCCCCCACACCGCCTTCCTGGGACCATGGGTCGGGGCAGGCAGGGCTGGGGTGCGCTGTGGGGGGAACCCACTCTCTCAGGGGCCAACCGCAGCCCCCAGCCTCCCCTCTGCTCCCCAGGGCCCAGGACCCCAGCCACAGCTGTGTGACTCCTTTTCTCCTACAGGAGAGGCCCCCACACCTCGGGCCTCCGGCAGGAACCGCGGCGTTTGGGAGCCGGGGCCCTGCTGGGCGCCCCCGCCCCCTCCCGACCTGTCCCGCGCCTTGGAGCCAGGGGGATCCGCCCATCCGATCTCAAGTCCACTCACTTTTTGAGTTGGTCCTGGGGTCCGCCGTCCTCGTCATAATAAGGAAAGATGCATCCGTATCTAGAGGAGGCCGTGAGGGCATCACATCTACCGTACCTGCTATGATGTCTAGGGTTTCTGGCTGACTTCTGGACCAGAACGGAGGCCCGGGAGGGCAGGGGGCCTTGTCTGGATATGCTGAACATCTAGAAGGGGCTTTAGGTCCCCTTGTCGGGCAAATGATGCCCATCCAGTACCTTTCAGACATGCTGGGGGATTGGGGCTCCCAGGATGGGGTCCCCGTGTGGAATCTAGGGCTAGAGCAGCTTTGCCCCAGGCACGGGATACCCCGGGCTGGAGGCCGAGAGGAAGGGCCGCAGCCCCCGGCACCGCCCTCCACGGGCCGGGCACAGGGCTGGGGGGGACTGGCCCCAACAGCAGGACACAATCCCACGTGGGGCGGTCCTCCTGGCACCCAGGGTGCCTGAGGCTCAGAGAGATGGAGAGCGGGAGGGGGCGGGGAGCTGCTGGGCTGCGCAGGGGCCGCACTCACCTTTTGAACAGCAAGTCCAGCACCTGCTGGGTGGTGGTGAAGGCTCGGTATGTGCACAGGAAGACGGTGACGTAGGAGAGGTCGCTGCCCTGGAAGGCAGGCACCAGGTGCTCCACCAGCTTCTCCAGCGTGCCGGCTTTCACCGTGCGCACCTTGCAGGTCTCATACAGGTTCAGGGCCGACTCGTGTTCACACTGGGGTGGGAATTCAGAAGCTCAGATGAACTCCCCAGGGCTCCGTGACTCGTGGTGGGAGCGGAGCCCCACGTGCCCCCGGCAGACCATGGTTCCCGGCTTAAAAAGCGGAATCGGAGGGGCATCTGAGTGGCTCAGTCGGTTAAGGCGTCCGACTTCAGCTCAGGTCACAATCTCACGGTTTGTGGGTTCGAGCCCAGCATCAGGCTCTGTGCTGACAGCTCAGAGCCTGGATCCTGGTTCAGATTCTGTATCTCCCTCTCTCTCTGACCTTCCCCTGCTCACTCTGTCTCTCTCTCAGAAAAAAACTAAAACATTTTAAAAAAATGTTTTTTTTTTTAAAAAGGGGGAATCAGAGATGAAGAGGGCTAAAAAAAAAAAAATACTAACCCAGCACTTTGAGGTCATTCTGTTAGCAGAACTTAAAACAGCCCCTTTGTATATTACGAGCATCGCTCCCGTGAGCCCTGGAAAAGCCTGCCCATTCTAGAGATGTGAACACGGAGGCTTATTCTGGGGCGAGAAGAGACACGGGACGTTCAGCGCAGCCCTGGGGAAATGGCTGTGGGAGGGCATCAAGGTCAGGTTCCAGAGCACTGAAGGCGGTATCACCGTGACAACAGGCTTCCCTTCTGGAATGCTGTGCAGCTGAGTCCGGCCCTACCTCTGGCCTGGAGAGGTCACGGGGCTGTGCTCCAGGAGACAGTAAGGTATACAGTAGCCTCAGCCTCTGCCCCTTTTGGGTAAAACTAGCCCTTCCAAGCGAGGTGATGCGGAAGGGCTTGCGGGTCTACAAGGGTGGGCTCACGGCCCCTGACACAACCTGCGGCCAGAATTAAAACAAGAAAACCTAGGGTAAGATACAAAATCACTTGTGGCCAAACATGGCAGAAAAGTGTCTTTGTTGTGCTTTTTGAAAAGGATCTTTGGTGGGGGGGCGGTGCCTGGGGGGCTCAGTCAGTTGAGCGCCCAACTTCGGCTCAGGTCATCATCTTGCAGTTCGAGACCCGTGTCGGGTTCTGTGCCGACAGCTCGGAGCCTGGAGCCTGCTTTGGATTCTCTGTCTTCCTCTCTCTCATAAATAAATAAACATTAAAAAATGTCTTTAAATATTAATGTTTTAACAAAAAGTATTTTTTTGAAAAAATAAATTTTTTTTTACGTTTATTTATTTATTTATTTATTTAATGTTTTATTTATTTCTAGGAGAGAGAGAGACAGCGTGAGCAGGGGAGGGTCAGAGAGAGAGGGAGTCATAGACTGAAACAAGCTCCAGGCTCCGAGCTGGCAGTCAGCACAGAGCCCGACGCGGGGCTCGAACCCACGAACCGCGAGATCATGACCTAAGCGAAAGTCGGACGCTTAACCGACTAAGCCACCCAGGCGCCCCTACGTTTATTTATTTTTGAGAGACAAAGTGAGAGTGAGGGAGAGGCAAAGAGAGGAGGAGACACAGAATTGGAAGCAGGCTCCGGGTTCTGAGTTGTCAGTCCGATGCAGGGCTTGAACCCACGGACTGTGAGATCATGACCTGAGCCGAAGTTGGACACTTAACCAACTGAGCCCCCCAGGTGCTCCCAGAGAGAGTCTTTTGTTGATGTTGATCAAGTCTGTGCAGAGTGATGCTTCTGGCTGAGCTCAGGACCAGAGAGTGGGGAGAGGGAGGCCACGGAAGCCCATGTTCCTCTGGGAGGGGGGCTGTGGGGCCCTCAGGCAGGAAGGCCCTGGGAGGGAGCCCAAGAGAGTGGCTGAGTGGTATCTGGAACCCGGGCCTTCACTCACCCCGAGCCAGCGTTGGCCCTTGGTGGCACCGTGGTGTGCCTGCACCTTCCGCAGGGAGATGGAGTAGATGACCCCGTTGACCAGCTCCTCGCCAATCTCCTGCGTGCAACTCTGTAGGGACAGCGCCCGGCCACCGGGCGGAGGCATCAGTCAGGGGCTGTCCCTGTGAGCCTCCAGTCCCCAGCTGAGGCCCAGTGTCCACACAGGTCCCCCAGGCCAGGATTCAGTGGGCTGCTGGCGCCAGGGCTCTCCGGGGCTGGCAGGTGCACACCACCCCCGGCTCCCCCACCCCCACCCCGCCAGCCACAAGCTACGTATGAACAAGACAAGCCCCCCAGGCTCCCGGACCCCCAGCAACGTGTTTGTGACACCCAGAAGGTGCAGGAGGGCCCTGAGAAGGTGCCCATGTCTCCCAGCAACCCCCCCTCCGCCCCTGACCTCCCACGTCAGCATCCTGGCCCAGCCCTGGAGTCAGCATCACGGGTCTGGGGCAGGTGTTGGGCATCCCCGAAGGCCACATCCGATGCCACTTCCTTCCCTCTCTGCTCATTCAGGCCCTGGCTCTTTCTTGGGTAACAGAGGAGTTCCCCTTCCCTGTCCGTCATCACGTGCATGGGGACAGAGTAAAAAAAAAGAGGAGGAGGCAGGCATCTGGGCAGATGACTGGGCTTTCACGGGACCCAAAACCACAGGGCTGTAGTGAGGACAGGAAGGGGGGGTCATCTGGCTGCTCCCTGGACCTGGAGCAGAGAGGAAATGCCCTTGTTTTAGGGGACAGCCACCCCTCCCACTGAGCAGGCTGGCCTGGGGGCTGTGACCGTCCAGCCCTGGCTAAGGCCACTTCGCCTCTCCCACCTGCCCCTGTGCAGGGAAGGGCAAGCCTGCGGTGGGAAGGGGACCTCTGAGAGGCCAGGGAGGAGCCGGGACGTGCCAGCTGGCACAGGGCCACGTTGCACGGTCCTTACCCACAGCTGGGTGTGGGTCGCTGCCCAGACCCGAGGCGGACATAAAGAAGACCCAGGTGAACGCGCCTTCCCTGAAGCCCTCGGCCTAAGCTGGGCCCCTGCTGCACCCCTGGGGGCAGCGACGGGGCACCTGAGCCTCTCGCCTCCTGCCCGCCCTTGAGGGCCCCAGGGGCTGCCCTCAGGAAGGCCGCTTCCTCTGACCTGTGGCCGTCCTCTCACTCTCGGCACTATGCCAACGGGGAAGCCACAGCGACCACATTCTCTCCGGAGAGACAGCCAGCCGGCTTCTGGGAACCACAGGCAGGGGTCATCCCGACTCTGAGCGGCACCTCCCACGCCCACGCCCCTCAAAGAGCCGGGGCACGTGGAGGTCCGGCCCTTCCACCGAGGAAGGGAAACTCCACAGGCTCACTTTCCCTTTCCCTGCCTGGAAGAGGCCTTACAGGAGACAGGCTTCCGGGACCAGCTGTCCCCCTGCAGGACTGGGGCCCCATCACCCCACATGTGCTCAGGGACCAAGCCAAGGCTCGGCTGGGGGGGGCCTGCCCTTCTCCAGGGTTTTGGAGCCACACTTGACCCAGCTGGGAACCAGTCCGTGTCCCGGACACCCAGGCTGGCGGCAGCGATGTGGAGGTCCCCACGCAGGACCCACCCGCCAGAGGGCAGTGAACTTGAACTTCCAGTGGGGCTCCATCAAGGCCGGCCATGGCAGGGGCTGCGGCCAGGCAGTCGCTGGGCCCCCCCGCGGGTCCAGAGAGCAGGCGCTGCAGTGAGCCACTGGCCTCAGCCTCGCTGGCAGCAGCTGGCCTGTGCGTCACATGGTCCCCGAGCCCCGCCCCCACCCCCAGGGGCCCCCTTGGCAGTGGGGAGTGGAGGGCAGGGCGGGACGCCGAGGGGGACAGACTGGAGTCACTACCCTGTCACACAGATGGGGAGCTGCTCTAGCTCCCTCACGCAGCAGAACAAAACCAGCCGCTCAGAGCAACGCGGGGCAGGCGCCATCGAAACCAAGAGAGGACAGGGGCCCAGGTTCCCAAGCAAACTGCCCCGGGGCCTGGGCAGAAACTGGCAGACTGGGGTGTTTGTTTCCAGCTCCTACCCCCTTCCAGGGACAGAGAAGGAGTGCAGCCAGCAGCCTGGCATCTGTCCTCCAGGACCCTCTGGGGCAGGAAAGGCAGGGCCCCGGCGCCTGGGGCGACCCTGGGCACCCTGTTGGCAGAGTGGACAGCATCAGGCCCGGGAGCAGGTGGCCCGGCGAGGGCAGGGTAGTGGTGAGGGGAGCTCCTGGGGGAGAATGGGAGCGGCCTAGCAAACGGCAGATGTCCCAAGGGGAGGCTTCTGTAGGGAAAAGAATGCCACAGGGATGGCTGTGTCCTTGGGGGGCCGGTGTTCCCAGGTCCCTGAGACCCAGTTGGCAGCCATGTATCACATGCTGCCTGACCTTCCACAGCTTGGTTCAACCGGGGACGGGGGGTGGTGCTCCCAGGCCCCCGGCAGCAGGGGCACCTCTGTGCCCCGCCCTCTGCTGTCCCTCTGAGTACAGCCGAGAGCCCCAGGGACAAGGAGAAACGGCCTGGGTGGCATCTGGTAGTGTGTCACCTGATCAGCCTTCTCAGGGTGACAGGTCAGCAAGATGCCTGTCCCCAGCTGACTGCAGGCCAGGCCCCATTCCCTCAAGGGAGAAGAATGGGGTGGCCCTATCTCTGGATAGACCTGAGGGGATCTACTGGCTTTCCCCTAGCCCTCGCCTGGCCCGCAAGGCGGCTCGCGCCTGCATGTCTGCAGATGGCACAGCACCTTCCTTCCGATCACCCCCTCGGTCCCTCTCGGGTATGCCTTTCCCGGGGAAGCCACAACGAGGGGCCATTAGGGGCCTCCAGACCCACAGAGGCCTCTGCCTCGGACTGGCTTCTCCTAAGAACCTGGTCCAGGGCTGTGGCGGACAAAGAAGGGCCCAAGCTTGTACCACAGTGTTCTGTCTCCTCTTTGGGCCATACATGGAGACCCTGTCACACTCGGGCAGGGTGGGGGCCACCACCCAGGGTCACTGACTCACGGAGTTTACCCCAGGCCCTCACCTGGACACTGGCCACCACCCTGCGGCCCTGGGCACATAGGGCCCCTCCCCAGCACCCACCAGACCCCAGGGTGCCGCCTCTCCTGAAAGGCTCTGCCTTCCAGCTCTGCTCAGCCTCTCTGGCCCCGGCCTCAGTGAGCTTGTCTGTGAAATGGGGAAAGAAGCAACGGCTCCCTACAGGGCAAGACTGGGGGTTAAGGGAATGCACACAGCGTGCCCAGCTCAGCACCTGGCACGTGAAAGCGCCCAGGAAGTGTGGACAGGTGACCTTGTTGCTACTGAGCAGCACCCCCAGGGGGTGCTGACAGTTGGCGGGAAAGCCCTGAGGGCACCTGAGGGAGGCTGGCCAGAGCCCTGGGAACCCGGAGGAGGGCCAGTGCGGAAAGGGCAGGAGAGGGAGGTGGCGTCCTAAAACTGCCCGAGCCAGCCCTACAGCCTTTCGAGTTTTCGGCCTTTTGCTCAAATGCAGGAGCCACAGCAAGAAACAGATCAGAGGGCCTGATCAGCCCTCCCAGGATCCCAGGCTCTTGGGGCAGTTTAAACATGCATCCCACACCCGTTCACAGAGTGGAGGCTGAGGATCTGGGCTGAGGAGACAACCTGGACTTTTCAAGTCCAAGTCCTGGTTCATCTCTTAGACCATAAGCTCCAAAAACTGAGGAAGAAAAAGGCACCTCGTGTGCAGCAGGGCCCTGCCTTCAAGCTTTCGTGGGCATCCTGCACCCTGAGCCTGGTGGTACAGACAGGACCAGGTGGGGACCTGAGGTCACTCCTCGACGGGGGAGAGCCACATTTCTGCCCCCCCCAACACTGCAGCCCATAGACACAAGGGGACCTTTGCTGGGGAACCTGCAAGGCCAGGGAGCTTGGGGACCCCAGCAGCTGGAGTTTGGGGACTAGCCTCGCGGAGCCCCCAAAGAGGCTGTCCCTAAGAACCCTTGCCATCAGCCCAACTCCGGTTACTCATCAGCATTTAAAGAGAAAGAAGTCTGGGGTGCTTGGGGGGCTCAGTCAGTTAAACGTCCGACTTCATCTCAGGTCATGATCGCCTGGCTCATAAGTTCGAGCTCTGCATCGGGCTCTGTGCTGACAGCTCAGAGCCTGGAGGCTGCTTCAGATTCAGTGTCTCCCTCTTTCTCTGCCCCTCCCCTGCTCACGTTCTATCTCCCTGTCTCTCGAAAGTAAATAAAAAAACAGAACAAATTTTAAAGAGGAAGAAATGTGCCTTGAGCGGGGAGGAGTGAGGGCGCCCCCAGGCTGGCCCTGCCCACCCCACCCCCCGCCCTCCTGTCCCCCGAGGCCGGCTCCTGACTGTCAGGCTAGAGGCCACCACACATCAGGCCTTTGAGGGAGTGTAGCTGGTGACAGCTGAGGAGGAGGGTGGCCGGCTCCCAAGGGGGTGCGGGGCAGGGCCAGCGGAAGGTCCAGTCCGACCACAGCGTCCGACGTCTGTGGGCATTGCTGGGCGCACACTCCTCACTTTAACTCCTCGCCCCCCCGCCCCCCGCCAATGCGTCACCTGACTGAGGGGTGAGAGTGAGGGAAGAACTGGGCGGGGAACACACAGGTCAGCAGCCAGGGATCGGCGGCCGGGGCACGGATTTAAACCTCAGCCCATGACCCTCCTGGCCAGGCCTGGTCGCTGCCCTGCTCTACTGTGGCCGCCGCACTCAGAGCCTCAGAGCAGAGTCCAGAGAGGGGGAGGCCTTCTGTACAGGACCGAGCCCGTCTTGGATGGCGGGGTCCAGCGCCCGCACCTGTCCACACAGGCGGGGTGGGGGAGGGTAGGCCGGGGGTCCTGCCTCGGGACCCTGAGGTCAGCTACAGCCTGAGAAGCACCATGCCCGCTGCACCCAGCAGCAGCGCAGCCCAGCCCCGGAGCCCCGGGCCCGGGTACTCCCCTGGCACCTTGTCGGACAGCACGACCATGGCGGCCACCACCCATTTGGCTCTGATACTGCATCGGGCACTGCAGGGACTGCTTGCCAGGCTGCCTCTCTCAGTCTCCATCTGAACCCTTAGGCGAAGAACTGGTATCAGGCCCATTTTCCAGATGAGGGAACTGAGGCTCAGGGCTGGGGAACAGGTCCAGGGCTGCAAGGGGCCCCGCATGCCAATGCTGCCTCTCAGTTTCAAAGGACATTCTGCCTCCAGGTGAGACTGCCCAGCGCTGCTGTCTAACGGTCCCCCGGGGCGGAGAGGGAAATGCCGAGGCAGCACCCGTGCCCCGAGAGCTCCCCAAACACAGGCCCTTGAGGCAGGTGCCCCTGCCTCGCTCACCAAGCAGTCTCTCAGCTATTCATCTGCTTCTCCTTCCCCAAGGCTGTGGGTCTCTGCTCCCACCCCCGGAGAGGCGAGTGGGGAGTCACTTCGCTAGGGCTGCGTGTCCGGGAACACTGCGTCTCTGCGCCCGGGACACGGTGACCACAGCATGGTACTGAACCACGAAAGCCATCGGATCGGGCAGCTGCCCAGCAGCCCCCAGGAGCCAGTCCTTGACTGCCTGGGGGCCACGTCCCGAAACCGCCTCCACCGGCTTGCTCAGAGGCTGCCGGGGGGGCAGTGCCTGCTTACTCCAACCCTTTCTACCCGGCAGTGAAGACCGGGGCTGGAAACACACATCCAAATTCCAGGTTGAGGATGGAACGGAGCCCCACCTGTGAGCAGTCTCACCTCTGCTGCCCCAGGGAGGCAGCTCAGCAGAAGGAATGGTGGGGGGGTGGTAGGGACCCCGTACCAGCCAGCCTGGCCCCCCCTTCCTCTTCTCTTGCGGTCCATGGGGGCCCAGCAGGTGGCAGTCAGTCCCCTCCTGAACTTGATTCGCCCTGCAGCCTATAGGCCACCCCCTCCCAGTTAAGAAGCCCTCCTCAAAGACTGCAGTGTGCAGATAGATCAAAACCCCGTCCCACCCAAGGCTATGCCTCTAGGACCTCCCGTGTCAAAGGCAAATGAGCACTGAGGTGAAACTGAAGAGCTGCACAAAGTGTGACCAGGAGAATAGACAACCGGGGCGGGGAGACTCTATTTCTGCCAGAAGAACAGAGAAGCCCTCCTCATTCCATTCCATCCAGACAGTGCTCAGACCTTACAGTCACATGGTGTGGGTCAGAATCCCATCTCTGCCACTCACTAGCTTGGGGAGTTTGTGCAATCTAACTTCTAGGGCCTCAGTTGTTTCATCTGTGAAATGGGCAAGCGACGATCCTGGCAGCAAAGAGACAATAATGCATGTGTGTTACTTAGCGCAGGGCCTCCTACAAAGTGCTGGCTCATACGAGCTATGATTTTAAACCTCTGGGGTCCAGCACTGAGCTTGCTTCTTCCTAGAAGCCCTTCCCAGTGTCCTTTGGTCCAATGAACTTTTGCCTTCCTCTGGTCTATAAGCATCGCTACTCTTCACTTGCCCGGGGGCTTCTGAGCTGCCTGGACTTAGTTCTGTTCCCCCAGATAGCTCCCTTGCCCTCCCCTTCTCTGATCCTTGCGCTGCGCTCTCGAATACAGCAGGCCCCCGGCAAAGAACAGCCCACATTCAAATCCTGGCTGCGTGTCCTTCTTGGCTGGGTGTACGTTAAAATCAGGGACTCCACGTCTCTGACTCCCGCTTCATCTGCTATAAAGTGGGTCGATGATTACTCTGTGGGGTTGGTCAAAGCCAGCTGGAGAGAGGGGTGGTGCCTGCAGCCAGTACGTGCTGCACCCTGCCTGGCCAATGCAGCGGCCTGCCCAGGGATGACGGCATGTGCCAGGTGACCTCCAGAAAGCAGAGAGCCCCTCAGGCCAAGCCGGGTCAGCAGTGACTTGGTTTTCTCGAACACGATGATGAGTGGATGCCCAGATGTGCAAGGACATCTGGCAGCCCAGAGAGGGAAGGGTTGGGTGGAGGCGTGGTGGGGAAACGGGGACAGGGGAGGGCAAGCAGAAACTACCTGGTGGTTTCCAGACAGGACAGTGACCACGAGCGGGGCCGCTTCAGTTCTGGCTCGCTACAGAGACCAGGAAATCAGCCTCAGGATGGTTGGGGGTGGGGGGCACACTGTATTGGCAGGAGGGACAGGGACTTCCCCGGCCCCCCCTCCCTTCAGCCCATGGTAAATGGTCATTGTGTTTGGTTTCCGGCAGTGGCCTCCTCTTCTGCCAGAACCCTGGTTTTCCTGCCCCAGCCAGAAGCTTCCCCTTTGATTTCTAAACAGCGGCCATGGCCTGGATCTCGGCGCTGAGGCCTGGTGAGGGAGAGCAGCAGCGAAAGAGGGAGACGGAGAGGGGGAGGGGGAGCGGGGAGCTGGAGGCAGGGCAGACCTCTGGGGCAGGGGTAAGGGCTCAGCTCTGCTTCGCCTTGGGCTCCTCTGGGATGCGGATGGATGGAGAGGGAGGAACAGAAGCCACCAAAGGCCGCCCCCCCCCAGGCCAGGAACCGGCCCGGCCCCTGTGCGCTCGCACACGCACACGCACGCTGGACCCTCCCAGCACACAAAGCCGGAGCCGCTGCCAGCCATAATGAAAGTCAGATGAGCACTGGGCTCGGGTCAGGCTCCCACCCCACCCGCCCTGGGGGCCGCTCCACCCCCAAAGAAGACGGAGCTGTGGGTGGATGCGGGTTGGAGGACTCGCCCACCCCACCGTCCGCCAGGCTCCGGAGGAGCCTCCCAGGCCCACAGTCCCCTCAGCCAGAGCGCCCCGCCCCGTCGTCCCCCCTGGGGGCACGGAGACAGGCCTTCTCCTCAGGCAGACACACATGTAGGCCCTGTGTAGGCTCTGGGGACACACACGGGCACAGTCCCAGGCTGGCAATCTCCAGCCTTTCCAAGGTCCTGTGGCCTTAAGTCATGGAAGGGGAGGGGGCACCAAGTGGGGGGGGGGCTTAACCAGCAAGGGGCTCAGACTTCACTGTTAAGGCTCTGGCTTGGCCTAGATGTGCCCTGAGCCCCCAGACCCAGGGACAGCCTCTGCCCAGGCCCCACACCCGGGCAGAACGGGGTGAGGGGGCCCGTTCCTGGGTTCTGCTAGACTCTCTACAGTCAGGTGCAGAGTCAGGAGGGAGGCGGAGACCCCACGACCCACTGGGCCCCCTGCCCAGAGCACACCAGAAACGAACCCCCAGCCCTCACCTAGGTATTACACCCCCACTTGTGACAGGCACCAGCCCCTTCTCTGAACCCTCCCAAATCCTTATGAATTCAGGGTGTCGGCGTAGTTTCTGGTCAACCAGAAATGAGTCACCCCGTCGGCCTGAGAGGCCCTTCTGCCAACCCCACTGCCTGGACACCTAGCCGCACAGGTTGCTGCCTGTCTGCCCTCCACCCTGCTTCTCCCCACCGGTCCCAGGTCTGCCCCCAAGGGGTGTTGTCTGGAAGGCCCCTGTGGTCCCAGCTGACTCGGGGGACTCTGCCATCCTAACCACTAGCTCACCACCTGCATCGCGGGGCCTAAGCGCTGGTGCAGGCACGGCCCCTGCTGTCAGAAGTTCACAGACGTAAACAGTGACAGCGCCGGGAACAGGTCTACCTGGGCTGCAGGGGCGCGGCGCTGGCACATCGAGAGGCTCGGTGGGGCCAGGTCCTGGGACGGATGGTGGAGTCGGGGGAGGGGGGACCACTTAGTCCCGGCTCTGGTCCCCAAATTGTTGGACCTTTTGTGCGGCGGCCCCCACGCCCCCCTCGCCGCGCCCGCTTTTGTGCGCAAGGCCCCTCCCCGGCCCGCTCACCCACCTCCAGGCGCGGCAGGTCCGGGTCGAGCTGCGTGAAGCTGTGCAGCACCACCGGGCAGCTGTCGGGGCCGCCCACCTCCAGGCGCACTGCGTCCCACACGCTGCGACTCCGCCGGGAGCCCGGAAACAGCGGCTCGGCGCCGCCCGCAGGCCCGGCCGCCTCGGCCCACATGCGCTGCACCATGGACGGCTCCGGGGCGCGCGGCCGGCCGGCCGGGCCGCGAGACCCGGGGCGGCGCGGGCGCGGGGCCGGCCCGGCGCGCGGCGGCGGCGGCGGCGGCCCGCGCGGCTCGGCGCTGCCTGCTCTCTGCGCCCGCGGCGCGGCCCCGCGGAGGTCAGGCCGGGGGCGGGGCCCCGGGGCGGGGGGCGGGGCCCCGGGGCGGGGGGCGGGGCCGGCGAGGCCGGGGGCGTGTGAGTGCGCGCGCGCGCGCGTCCTCGCGGGCCTGCCCTAAGGGTGGCCCGGAGTGCACGTGCTGTGCGTGCCGTGGGCCCGCGGTTAGGCACCCTGCGTGGGCGCGCGCGCTGCTGCCGTGCCTGCGTGGTGTGGGTGTGGAGTCGTGGTTGAGCCGCCCTGGTGTCGGACCTGCCTCCCGCGAATTCCTGTTAAGTCTATAGCTCTGTGGCCTTGGACAAATTGCTAAACCTCTCTGAGCCTGTTTCTCCTTCGGAGAGGCTCGCAGCGTGACGCTGTGCTCCTGAGTCCTGGAATGGTGGCTGTGTCTTCAGAGCACACGTGCGCGTAAAGTCCTCCGGGTTATGTGTGTGTTTGGCGTGTGGGGAGAAGCCTGTCTTGCTGGGGCCTTTGCTGCGCCATTACCTTTCAGCCCTGGCGATACTCCCGGCCTCCCCAGAACCGGTCTCCCACCCCTGGGCCGCACTTGGTCTGTTTGGAAGACGAGAGGCCAAGACCAGACTACACATTCCATAAGCAGACCGTGTGTACCCACCGAGCGCCAAGCCTCAGCTATCCCGGGAAAGCGGGGCCCCAGCATGGGCAGCTTGAGGACCATCCAGCCGTGAGGCAAGGCCTTGACAAGGACCGGCAGAAAACTTATTTGGCAGTTTCTATTAAAGGTATTAAAAACACTCACGCCCTTTGATTCAATGATCCACGGGTAGGAATTCACCCGAAAGAAGCGATCAGGGGGAGGGACATGGGTCTCTGTATGGAAACCTGGATTAGAGCTGTCCCAAACTGAGGGGCCTGGGGGGCTCGGTCAGTTAGGCATCCGACTCTGGATTACAGCTCAGGTCATGATCTCATGGTTCGTGGGTTTGATTCCCACATCCGGCTCTGCACTGACAGCATGGAGCCTGCTTGGNTTCAAAAAAAACCAAAACAAAACAGAAGTAATCTAACATGAAGCTTAGAATTCTTAAACATAACACAATGAACCACTGAACTCATGGTACAAAGGTAAGCCATAGTTTAAAAAAATTCTGTTTATAGAAAAGAGAATATTAGAAAGCATCTGCTTTGCATTCTCAATAAAATGCAAGAATCAGCAAATTAAAAAGTGAGAGGACAAAACAGTAGCTTGCGATGAAAAGGTGACTGGGTTAAGATGTATCCACACAGAAATAGGGAGAAAGAAGAGAATAAGAAGTGACAGTAAGTAAGGGGCGCCTGGGTGGCTTAGTCGGTTGGGCGTCCGACTTTCGCTTGGGTCATGATCTCGCGGTTCGTGGGTTTGAGCCCCACGTCGGGCTCTGTGCTGACTGCCAGCTCAGAGCCTGGAGCCTGTTTCAATCTGTGACTCCCTCTCTCTCTCTGACCCTCCCCTGCTCACGCTGTCTCTCTCTCTCTCTCCTAGAAATAAATAAAAAACATTTAAAAAAAATAAAAATAAAAATAAATAAAGCAAGATGGGTAGATTTAGTTTGGGGTGGAGATCCCTACGAGGCTGTTTAGGAAGCTTCTGGGCTCTGTCACCCGGGAGGGCTAGAGGTGGGTGGTGCACATTTAGAGGAAGGAGGTCCTCAAAGAGTGACAGAAGGGTGACCTGGCCACTGGCCCCTGCCCTCTGACTAGAAGCTCCTCTTCCACTCCTCCTGGGGCTAAGCTCTCGGTGCTGCCTGGGAATTCTGAGCCGATTCAGCACGAGCCGGCCCTCACTTATCTCTCTGCTCTCTTTATCTCCTTCTCCCAGGGAGGGGCCTGGGAAGCCAGCTCCCACCCATTTTACAGCTGGAAAGACTGGGGGTTGGGGAAGTGCACCTGATACCAATTCATCTCCAACCTTGAAGGGCTAGGTGCTGGGGTTGGGGCCCAGGTAGGCTGGAGAGGTGAGGAGTGGGGAATTCCATCACGATACCACCCCCCGCCCTGCCCCAGCCCAGCTGGCTGGGCTGCCTCCCATCTCAGAACCTGCACCTCATCTGCAGGTTGGGGGTGGGGTGGTGTACGCTTCACTCGACCAGTCTCTCTGGTCCACATCTGTCTGTTTTCACAAAGTCCCCTTCCTGGCCTTGTTCAGCCCCCACTTCAGGGCTCGCCTCAGGGGTCTTGGCAAACCTGCCCACTCACTGCTGCAGCTGCACGCCTGTGAGTGTGCACATGGGCACATGCACACACACCCTAGCTCCCAGGTGCTCCCAGGTGTAGCACAGAGGGCAGGTTCAGACATTGAAATGCCTGGGTTTGAAGCCCAGCTCCACCCTTCTCTTACTCTGTGACTCCTTTACCTCCAGGCAAATCACCTCCCCTCCAAGTCAGTTATCTCCGGTGTAAAAGGGATAACTAACAAGACAGCACAGACGGGAGCCCCTCGCACAGGTGCTTGGTGCCCCCAAGTCAGACGGGCCAGAGACTCTGCCCCACACTGTCCGTGACAGCGGCCGCGAGTCACAGGGCACTACCTGCATGCAGGACCCTCTCCTGAGCCCTAACATGCCTCCCTTCGTGATCCTGCCCCAGAGCGGGGACCTTACCAGGACAGGGGCAGCCCCAAAGCGGGGATCGGGCCAGGAGGTGCTCCCTCACAGAACAGAGCCATCCACAAACTGTTCTTGCCAAAAACGAAACACGCATCCCACCAGGCGTGTGTGTGTAAGTACCATTTGGGGGAATTACAGGGGACGGGAACACGCTGAACACACGGTGAGGACGCAGTCCACAGGCTCCAGACTGTGAGAATCTACAGGACAGGGGCACCTGGGTGGTTTAGTCAGTTAAGCATCCGACTTTCGCTCAGGTCATGATCTCGCGGTTCGTGGGTTCGAACCCCGCATCAGGCTCTGTGCTGACTGCCAGCTCGGAGCCTGGAGACTGTTTCAGTCTGTGACTCCCTCTCTCTCTGACCCTCCCCTGCTCACGCTGTCTCTCTCTCTCTGTCCTAGAAATAAATTAAAAAAAAAAAAAAGAATCTACAGGACAAACCACCCAGTTTCTTCAACAAAAACATCCCAGGGGAAAAAATAAAGGGAGAACGATGGATTAAAGGAAAACTAAGAGACATGGCCAACAGCAGCATGTGGATTGTGTTTTGTGATTTGAGCAGGGCAACTATTAAAAAAGAAAACAAAACAAAAACCTATGGGACCATTGAGATTATGTGAACACTGCTGGATATTTGAAGATATTCAGTATCACTTTCTGGGTGTGATCATGGTATTGCAGTTACTATTAGAGTAACATACTGGGATTTTTACAGATGGAATGAGGTGCCTGGGACTGGCACAAGCCTTGTCCCTGCAGGGGACAGCAGGACACGGGGTGGTGATCAGAAACAAGAGTGTCCTTGCACTGGAGTGGTTAGAGCTGGGGATGGGTTTATGCACTCTCTCCATTTTTGAGTCCATTTGGAATCTGCCATCACAAAAGTTAAAAAAGAAGTAGGACAGAGTTTGAGACTCCCCTCCGTGCCCCTGAGGCTCCCAGCAGCCATCAAGGGAGGGCAACAATCTTCAGACCCCAAGGCATGGCGGTGACACATGGCCAGCCCCACCGTTTTCCATGTTCCCCACTCGCCCCATGCCCGTGTGTGCATCCAGAGCCCTTAACAAGAGTCTGGGGGCATCACTTTGGGGGCCATGGCAGTGGGCGGCTGGGAAACCGAGTCACACAGTGCACATGGGGCTCACGGCAGCCCGGTGACCTTGGCTTATAGACCAAGGTTATAACCCCTGCGCTTGAAGGGTCTGCCGGGAGAAAGAGCACAAAGCGCTGTAGAAAGCATGGGGTTGTTAGAATCGGGGCCCTCCTTTCATCCCTCACCCTGCTCACGGCTCACCCCACCCTGAGCGGTCCCAGCTTCCCAACTGTTCCCTGGGGAGTGCACCTGCCCTTCCCCGGGGGTCACAAGAAGCTCTGAGAACAGCCGTTTGCCGTACAGACCGTTCCGCAGCCAGGATGCTCCCCGCGGAGGCCGCTGACAAGACAGGCGGAGCTGGCGGTCATGGAGCCAGGCCGCATCAGCCCACACGTGTGTTTTGTTTGGCTTGCAAAGTATTTTTACATTTTTGAGCCAACAGTAAAAAGGTCAGGTGATTTCATATAAAAGTCTGCATTTCTGGCTTCTCCCGTAACTTCAGAAAATCTGGCCACGCCGGGTCGTGTTCCGGAGCGATCGGACGGAGGCTGGGTGGGAGCTGACGCAGGCCCTGTGCTTGTGGGTTTGCCACGGACCCCGCCGGGCCTTTCATCGCCCCCTGCCTTCTGCCGGCCCGTGCTTCCTCCCTGCCGCCCACCCCTCACCCTGTACACAATAGGTGATTCATAAATGCTGCTCCAGCGGTCATTCAAATCAAACCCCGGCTCTGCCTCCACGCAAGGTCTCAGGGAATGGGGTTTGGGCCTAGCTGCAGCTCTGGGGAGGTCTCGGCGCCAGATCTGGGCTCAAGGCAACGTCCGGGCAATCACCCGGCCTTGCCCATCACCTCCTCCGACCTGGGCTCAGCCAAGGCCACGGAGGGCGCTGGTGGCCTAGTGAGGAACAGCAGCCAGGTACCCGGGCTCGGGTCGGCCCTCAGTGGAAGACCTTTCACCTCTTTCTGAGCAGGTGGACATCACCTGTCTGCTTGTGTTTTCGGTCTATATTTAGAGCCCGAGGCGGACACGAAGAGGGTGTAGCCTGGCCAGGCTCCTGGGTCATTTCCCGACATCAACGTCACCATTCCTGGCCTGCCTGGCTCCTGGGCTGGCCCTCTGTGGGCGTGTGAGCATGCACCTGGGCAGGAGATGATGACGCACCTGGGCTAAGAGCACCTGGCCTAAGAGCGTAGGCTTAG